GTGAGACGTATCCATCTAAATTACACAACCCTTCACCTATTTACCCTTGAACCAACGTTAATCTTTTTGCACACTACACTACATATTTTGAATTAAGCCGTTAGGCTTGTCAATAGTATTTAAACCAGTTGTCCACTGACAATCATCATCAGTTATTATTTTCAGTCATCAACCAATCTTACATCAACATTGTTTTTTACTAACATCTTATGTTCACTAAATTAAAATAAACCATTTCATTTTGTTAACACGCCTCTCAAATCAAGAGACTAATAAAATTGAAAGATTCGTCCAAATAAATAATCATCAGAAAGATGATGATGATGATGATCAACGGTTGACCGAATCAGGTCGATTAAAATAGCAAAAAAAAGGTGAATTAGCAGTGCATAAAGAACAATCAAAATGATGAAAATAATAGTTGAAAAAATGAGATGTTTCCATCATTTTGAAAGTGATATTTCATGAAGATAATTTATCCAAATCTGTAACCAACAAAAATCGTCTTCGGTAAAAGTCAATGATAATAACAATAATAACGGTAATCGTAAAGTTAATAGCACTTTTAATGTTAATAATTACTGAATTGTTGTGTAAAGTCTTAACAAATTGACAATTTACCATTAAATGCATTTTTTGCACACAAATCAATTTGAACACTTTCGTTTGCAATTCAATGTATTATTGGATATTGAGGTTTGAACATTTTATCAATAATTTAGTGATTGAATGTTGAGAGAAAGATTCAATTGGATATTTTCATTGTTTAAATCATGTTCAGTTGAATTAATTTCATCGTAACATCAAAAGTTGTCATTTACTCATTTCGTTGATCAATTGATTGCTTCTTTGAAAATTGCAATTAGTTATGAAAAAATAACCTTCTCGTGAATGTTTTACTGATTGTTGATTGCTGCTGTTACAATAACCATTTCTTAATCATTCAATTTTGATTCAACTCTGTTAACTCATTTTATGCAAATGTAAACTGACTCTGTTAGGTATTTTTAGCTTTCAAATAATTTACTATTTTTGGTTAATAACGAGCATATTTGAGCTCATTTCAATTGCTTTAATTGTTTACTTCATTAATGCTTTTCTTGCGATTGACATTATGAAAATTGGTTCAAATCAAATTCAATCTCTCACTGAATCAAGGTAACAATCAACGGATCAAATGTCAATATAAATTGACTATTATTACCATTTATAAAAGCTATTTTGTAGCATTCAAATTAATCACATTTTTGTTATATTTTTAATCAAATATTGCGCTCTTTTCGGGCGATTCAATGAGATCAAATGTTTCAATTTTAATATAAATTGAATGTTATGGTAAACATTGAAGTTATTGTAGGTAATTTTATAATTGCAAGCAACAGGATAAACATGAATAATAATTGAGTTGAATTAGATAAATAGTTTCTCTAATAAATAATGTGAATAAATGTGTTTTTATCTAGAAAATTTTTACATTAAAATCTGGGTTAATTAATAATCATAAAGGGTAAAACTCTTGTTTGGATTGTCAATGAAACTATGAAACAAAAACAATGAAACTCCATTGAAAAGCCAATGACAGTTTATTTTGTTTCAATGTTATCATTCTGAAAATTTGTGGTTTGTGATTAATGAATGTATTTGAATAGCTATTTTAAATACATAATTAACCCTTACTGTAATGACTCATTCGAATCACCTTCACTCTATTCCATTTGTTGCGCTCTGGTTGTAGGTTGACCTTAACTTTAGCCCGAAATTGGATTTGACATCTTGAGGAGGATAAGATTTGGTCAACAGGTTGCTTTACCTTTTTGCAACAAAAAATCCAACTTTTGTTGGTAATGCGTCCAAATACACTTAAATTGACATTTCAAGTTTCTTCCCATACAAAGTCAATGACAATACTAAATTTTGCATTTAAAATGAAGTATTAGAATGAGCTGAGATGATGAATAAAATTACGAATCCAAATAGCTGCTCTTAAGAAATTAACTTTTAGATTCTAAATAATTCTAATTAACTCAAAGCACTTCTAAACTGTTATGAATTGTATGAATAGGAATACGAAAGACAGAAGGAAACTTAAATTTACAATTTGTCAAAAGCTTTCTTTACAAGTAATGAAGACATTTCATGAATCTATTTTGACAACTAACATCTCTGATTAAAGCCAAAAATTAAAACTGTCAATAATTTCAGTGTTTAAGATTATTAATTTAATTTATGCCACATGTTTCGGTGTAAATTAATGAAAATCAACTTACTTTTTATGTAAAAGATCAACTTGCTTACCCTTGTTATTAACTTTAATCATCTTAAGGTTGATCAAGTTAGATCATTGAATCTTTTCTGTAATTATCTCCAATGTATTGTTATTCTGTGTCAACATTTTATATCCTTTGCGATTTCATTGATCTTACATGGTTTCATATTCTAAGTTCTCACTTTCGGTGATTATAGTAAAAATCACTCACCAAAATCATAGTCTGTTTCAACTCCAATATGTAACAAAGGTATTTCAAAAGGGTTTATGAGCTAAAGCTTTTCGCTTGAAATCAGCTAAGAGTTGAGATAGTGAACCAATAATGGGCATCAAATCAACATTTTCAGACGATCGTTATAACATCCTAGCTGTAGGAACAGCAAGTTGACGAACAATCACCACTGAATTTTCCATAGCAACATCATACTGATCTGAGCCTGAAGGTGGAATCATCGCCCAAACTTCATACATAGATTCCGTGATTGATCGCCTCATGTTTGGATTCATGGCAAGAGAGATGATCACTTTGGTAACAATAGGAATCAAAGGTCCACCAGGAAGAAAAACGGAAAATGTGGTTAAAGCACCAATGGCAAAATCTACGACCCACTTATATCTATTGTAGGCTTTGTAATACCAATCGACCCATGTAATCATCCGAGCAATTGTATTGCGATTGACAGCACTGTTGTAATCAAGAATGGATGCAAACATTGATTTGTACTCATCAACATTCAAACATAACTTCTGTAAATATGATTCCGAAGAGGGTGAAACAGCAGAAATATTAGACTGACCATTGACCAGATGAAAAGCTGACGAGAAACAAACAGGTTACTGGGGTTTATTTTAAGGTTCAACCATAAATACCTGGAAATATCAAGAAAATTGTCAAAACTCGAATCATTGGTGGAATCATGTTTGGAAGTAAATCAGCAAAATCAACTATTCAACATGGATTAAAACGAAAACTACTGAAATTCATTTATGAACATGAATGATTAGCTTCCTTTGTTGGATCGCAATTTATTCATCAAGACGTCAAATCTATAAAACTATGGTTATTCATCACACTTTTCAAGGATTATTCAAGTGTTTTCCGTAGTGAATCAACTTTTAATTCTGATAATTTAGTCACAAAATCAGTGTTAATTTTGTAACACACTATTGACTTTATTACCTGCTGATCCAAATTTAGACGATAAATCTTCAAGTTCATGATGAAATAACACTTTGAATTGCCCATTTGCTATAGTTATACTTTTTTTTGTAACCAAAGAGATTTTTGATTTAGCAACATTATTACCTTTGATAATAATTATTTACACAAATTTTTAAGCTCTTATAAATTGCTGAGTGCTATTAACAACTCAAGCTGGTTCTTTGGTTAGCAATTGGTATTAAAGGTAACAATAGCATGAAATAAACCTAATGTTGAATCATTGTAACTATTCGTACATAATCATTGATCAACCTTAAAGTAAATCTCTTGGTTACTGACCAGTTTTACTAGCTTTTCCAATGACAATAGAGTTGCTCAACTATAGATATAAGACTCCAGATCTCAGGTTGTTTCCATCTTCCAAGTAAATTTATCAGTGACCATAAATTACGAATCGAAAACTCACGAAAGTTCTTCAGTATCTTTAAAGCTCCAAGATCACTTAAGCCCACCTCGATACATTTTATTGGCCATTTTGTACTGGATTTTGTTGTGCTCCTATCTTGATTTAAACTTTACGTCTTTTGACTTCAGCCTTTTAAAATTATTGCCATTTCTATGGAACGGCAAAGGTTACTGGCAATTTTGGATCCACTTTGGTATTGGGCTGCGAACATAAACAAAGCATCTGAAGATGCTATAAAACAGTCTAGTCATAATGTATCCATCATCAGCATCCGTGAGATCCTAGACCTAGAGTTGCTAAGACGAGATTCCCTAAGGGTCTCTTAAAAAATAAAGAATAGTCGTGATATGGCTAATCCTAAGATCCTCTTCAATTTTTTTTTTAAAAAATTTACTCACCTTGCTTTTACTCTTACATTTGCAAGTTTTACCCAAACTGGTTCTCCTAGTTGCTTTTACCTGAGTTGTTAAACTCTCTCCTTCTTTCTCTGTTTCTTTTGTTGATGGATTCACATGAAAAAAACAGTTGAAAAACCGAAACCTTACCTTTGACCCATTCTCATAACTCTTTGTTGGTTAACCTTGTTAAACGAAGAAACAAACTTTTCTTTTAAAAATAAGTGGAAAAACATTTTCCTTTTCACGCAACATTACTCATTTTATCAACCTGTGTTCATCACTAATTCCTAGAAAAACTCTGTATTAGATAGTTGTGAGTTGAAAAACATATTAAATCATCGTCTGATTTAATTTTATTGAAAATTGGGTAAGCTTTTACTTACTCATTTACCAACCCTTTTCTCATTGGTTTTTCTTCTTCTGCCTTCTTAAAGCGCCAACATTAAAATTGCTTTAAAATTAATTTAACTCTTCCTCCCTTTTTCTTGTTACAAAACTGCTACTTCTACTTGAAAATAATTTCACTCGTGGTTTATTTTTCAATGACAAACATTTTTATTAATCATCATCTCATCACCTACAATATAAATTTACATTCTGTTCATTTAATTTCTTTACTATCAACCAACCACGTAATTTAATATCTATTTGTTTACTAATTGTTGTCTCATTCTTTTCTTTGTGTTCATTGTTGCATTTCCAAACCAGGCTGGTTTTATGGTATATTGGAAAGTGGTGAAAGTGGAATCTTTCCTAGTGAATATGTTGTAACATTAAATCGTCAACAAATTAGTGAACTTTTACAAAAAATGGTAAGAAATTCAACTAATTACTATATTTGTATCAATTTTTATATCCATTATTTGTTGCTACCAAAAGATATACAAAATGTCTCATTCATGTTTCTTTTTTACTTTTGTCCTGTCCACCTGTTTACATCTTTTTTATTGTCCTACCAACACCTTTTCCCTTTCATGTTATATGTTTTCTTGGTGGTTCTTTTGTTTCTCGGTGATTTGATTATAATTAGGAGCAAATCCGATCCTCTAGACAAAACGGTTATGCCAAAGAAATGGAATCATCTGATAAACGGTTAAATTCATCTAAATCACAGGCCATAACCAATGGAGATGCTCACAACAATAATCACCATCATCCTGCAAGTGAATCAGGACGTGATGGTTGCTCGTCATGGGTAGAAAGTCGAATTGTATGTTAATTAATAACCTCAATTCAATTTCGTCTCAATTAACTATGTGTTCTTCACCCTTAAAGAACCACAAAAATTTAAAAACAAAACCTTAATGTTATTGCTTATCCTTTAATTAATCATTTTTTTCTCATTTTTCTTTTCATTCCATCTCAACAGGATCATGTGGATGACAATAGAAGTGATATAACTCAAAGTTCAAATATCAATGATGGCAAATTTTCATTACTTCAATTTGCTTTATACAATTTCCGTGATGTAGTTGACAAGTAAGTTGAATGTTACCACATTTGAATTTAATTATATTAATTGTGCTTTTCTTTCCTCAATTTGTTCAGGTATGAATTGATTAGAAGTGCTGATGGTTCTTTCAGTGGATCAATTAAACTATTAGAAAGTTTGAAGTCAAAGAAGAAAAATAAAAAGAAAAATGGAAGTGGTTCTGATTGGACTTGGAGAGAATTATCGGACCTTGTCAAATTCTCGAAGGTTTGTAATGGCTATTAGCCGTTTTTACTGTCACTATCAAAGTTGTTGAACACATCGAACTGGCAATTTTAATAATTATCTTTCCTCTTTTTACAGGCTCCTATTACCAACTCTTTGCTCAAATTAAGTCCACCTGAATTGAACAAAATTGCCATCGAATGTTTTGCATGTAAGTTTCTATAAAATTTTCCATGACGTACCTGAATGAATCAATTATTTGCTAAATTATTATTTTCCCTCAAATTTAGCAATCATGAGGTTCATGGGCGATCTTCCGTTATTGAAAAATCAAACAGAAGTTGACTGTGTTTACACTATTCTAGTGGTAAGTTTACTAAACTATTCTGAACAAATATGATTCCTTATTACTTTGATATAATAATGACTGAATTCATTAAATTGTTTTTTTCTATCAGAACTGCTATCAATGGCCTCAACTCAGAGATGAAGTTTATTGTCAACTGATGAAACAAACCACCAACAACAAAAGTGCAAGACTGTAAGTGTCTTAATGAATAAAGTTCATTGCCTCTCAATTTAATTACAACTTATTAAATCTTGATCGTCTATTTAATTTATCTATATTACAGTGATAGCTGTCAACGAGGATGGAGACTTTTTTCAATCGTTGCTGCTTATTTTGATTGCTCTGAAAATTTACGACCTTATCTGCACAAATTCCTTGAGACTTCAGCTTACGATAAACGACGAGCATATTACGCTACAGCCATGGTTTGTTTACAAAACTTGCGTAAAACAATGAAATATGGAGGGCGTAAGAATGTCCCAAGTATCGAAGAGATTGCTGCTATTGCTGCAGGAAGAAACTCAAAAAGACAAATGTACAGATTACCTGGAGGAACTGAACGAATAATCAACACCAAATCAAGTACCGTTGTTTCCGATATTATCGAGGAAATATGTTCAATGCTCAATGTTAACAATCCAGTTGAAATGCAAGAATTTTCACTCTATTGCATTATAGACGGAGGTAATTAGTAGTCTCAATTATATTTCTAATTGCTGGTTGATTATTCGTCACTTATTCAATTTCTTGTTTTATTTTTTTTCTTTCTATCTAGATCTTTATACAATGCCTCTGAATAGAGAGGAGTACATCTTGGATGTTACTACTGAGTTACTTAAGAATGGACAGACATTTTATTTAATTTTTTGCCGTTCTGTGTGGTATTATCCATTAAGACTTGACTGCCAGTTGTACATTGAAGTTATTTTCAATCAAGTTGCACCTGACTACCTGGAAGGTTTACTTTTAATCACCCCAGGGGAACGTTTAAAAGAGAATCAAGTTTCTGATATTTCTCGTATTGCTGCTCTTCTTCACCGAGCTGCCAATATGGACCATGAGCCAACAAAAGACGAAGTTAAATATCTTTTACCCAAACCTATTTTACCAATGAAAGAGATTCGTCCACCTCAATGGGTTGAAATGGTTCAATCTAATTGGAATGATATGGGAGCTTTAACAACAACCGAAGCAAAAGCACAGTGTTTAGATATTTTACAAAAATGGCCATTATTTGGCTCTTGTTTCTTTGCAATCAGGGTAAGTTAACTTGAATGATGCACCTTGACTTGATTTATAGCAATCTGATAATTATGTAAAATTTTTCTAAATCTCTTTACAGCATATTCAAGCTGATTCTCCTAACCATCCTGACTATATTTTGGCTTTGAACAAAGAAGGAGCACACTTTTTAGATATTTTAACTCACGTAAGTGCTTAAAATTACTGAGTTATTTTTTGAATATGATCTTATTTAAGGTCTTATTTAAAACTAGAATATCTTATATAATACCTCTTCAACTTGATTAATTAAATTTTATTTAAATTCATTATTATTGTAGGAAACTATTTGGGATTATCCATTTGATCAAATCATATCGACTAGGAAAATCCGAGCTGAAGATGAAGCTCTTTTCCTTGATATGAAATGTGGTAACTTAATGACTTATAAAATAACAAGAATTCAAACTGATCAAGTAAGTCCCTTAATCTTGCTTAAGATTTTGTATTAATCTTTTCTGTTTCATATTTGATTCTGATTAATTTTTTTCTCTTTCCACAGGCTCATGAAATCTCACGTCTTATTAGACAATATATTGACATTCAAAACTCTGACAAAGGGGAAAGAGGACAACAAGTATCAACTATTTCAAGAAATGCAAACTCAAATTACTCAAGTTAATTGTTAATTAACCGAATCTACTTTTTTTACGATGCGGTATTATCCCATTATCACTCATCATTATGACTACAACATTGGGTTATCTTCACCAAGCCAATGTTTCCGCACCATTTTGACATGTAATCACACGCAAACCGTTTTTTACACAACAACACTGATCAAAATGATCATCATAACACATAAACTTATCTGGAAGACATTGAACCCTAAACTTTGACTACAAGAAAAATTAACCATGAATTACAAATCGCTCCAAGACATTTCCTGATGCAACCATTTTCCACATTTGCTAAAATGATTTACTTATTTGTGCCAAAAGAAGATAAAGATGAACTCTACAATTGCTGATTAATTTTATGGAGAACCAGAATAAATCCAGTTACATGAAAATGAAAAGGAAATCCAGAACTTGACTTTTGTTTGCGATTAACTAAGATACTGTTTTTTAATTGTCTGGTTAATTTCTGTAAAATATACATCTATTTGACAAATCAAGACCAACAAAAGACTGGTTCAATCCTTGCCTTAATTTTTACCTCAATCGCAAACTGAAAAGATTTACCAACGATTACCAAGAAGGAGTAATATTGAATTCTGTATCGGGAATTTTTATTGACCATTCTCATCTTCCTTAATATTGACCCATGTTGAAAAACATGAATACTATTTTTGTACATTATTTGTTATGCCCTTGAATAATCACGAAATTTGAATTTGCAATATCAAATGAAAAGTTGTATTCAAGTAGGGTGACTTCAAATCAATATGTCGATCAATCAATCTTTTGAATTTTGTAAAGTAACAAAATTAGATAATAAGACAATTGCAATATATTTCAATATAGTTGAGGAAAATTTGTCTTGAAATTCAATTTTCCTCTTTTCCAAACCAAGACTTCACTTGAATGTTATCTGATTTCATCATGATGCACTTGATATACATATCTGTGTCTCAACAAGCCAAAACCACTTACCTTCATTCAATCTCTGGTTATATTAAGTTGATTTACTTGATTAAGTCAATTTAATTAACTTTTCCTCAGTTTAATTCAAATGTCACCTTAACTTGAACGCACTTTTCAATATTTTGCATTTGATATATTTTCACTTCTCGTGTCTTTCGGTATTCCGGTTTCACCTATTATCACAATCTATTTTTAAATGCACTTTATACATGTTTCCATTTTTTTTAATTTATTTTCTCAATTATTGCATAAATTTCAATAAAAGTGAAACTGTTGTAAACTTGAATTTTACACCTGAATCTAGTTTATTTCACTCATGAAAGAATTACAATTTCTCATTACATTGATGTTGATAGGGAAAGAGAAGTAGCCATTTACAATTAGAATTGGTCCGTCATAATCTAATCATTATAAAGTGATGTATTTTTTGACAACTTGAATTTCTAGTCAACTCAAGCTGTCTATTGGATGTATAAATGGTAGTTTGAATTTTATCAAATTGATTTCCAGTGACAAGTGTTGAAAGGGTTTGTTTAAAAAAGTGCACTTCTATACCTACAAATGGGATGAGGAGCTTCAATGGCTTCGGCAGTTGATTTCGGCTTCTACAATTAAAATTGTGTTACTCGACTTTCGTCAACTTTTCGTGTATTCAAGCCTGGAGTCAAAAAATGGTTTGACTTTCATTGAATGATCGGTTAATGATCCAAAATTCTTAGATTTCCAGAGATTATTTTGTTTTCCAAAACTGAACCAGAAGGTATATCGATCCGATCACCATGGTTGGCAATAATAATAACAGTACCCTTTAGTTTGACACCAGTACCAAAAGTAACATCTCCAGAGACGGTTAAATGATTCAACTCAAGGATGTCTGGAATGGAAGCAAATCTTCTCAAGAAATCGCGTACCTTTGCGAATTGTGCATCGCCCAATTTAACCAGAGGAACTGTTAGGAAAGGTCGAGCTGGGTTTATGGTTAAACTTCCTTGATTGAGAGAGTAAAGGTTTGACATGATTAAAAGTAAATCTTGGGTTTTTTTAACTGGAAGAAAGCGACTTCTAGGTACATTAATACCGATCGAGTTTTCAAAATCTTTCATAGCGGCTCCAGCAGCTGTTTCCAGTTGAATAACATTCAAACCGTTGGCTAAGTGTTTGGGATTTGAAATAATTTCCATGTGGATACTTTGGCTAGCAACGAGTTTGTCAATTGATTTCAAGCTCATCCATAAGTTGTTAGTGTTGAAAATTTTGAACTTCTTCACTGATTTGAATTCCTCCACATGATCCTTTGGTACCTGAGCAATCTCGAGTAACCGTAATTTACCTTCATATTGAATTAAAGTTCCACCCTTGACATCAGCCTGAGTTTTATCAGTAACTTCCATAACAAATCCAGGCCTATGGGCTTTATCAGTATCCAATAGATATTTGAGGATATTGATGTCGACTGTAGCACCAAGATTATCAATATTTGAAACAAACACATATTCTTTACCTATCAAATCGAATTGAAAAATAAAAATAAAGATCAAATTAAAGATCAAAAATTGAACTGCGAACAAAATGCTCCAACGATTTTAAAAATACCAATCATTATGCCTTTTGTGCTCGCAGAGTGCTTTCTATGCTACAGTTGGTAGTTATCAACAAGACTCTTTTAGTGAACGGTTTAAATTATTTGTTATCTTTTTATGATTGTTTTAGCTAATTCTTTCACTGGATTTCAAAGTGTTTTTTGACTAAGTGATTATTTTGTCATTAAGTTTACTTTCCGAGGACTTGATAATACATTACAACGTTATTTTTACTTCTATTGTGATATCATATTGTAAGTTCAATATTGCTGTGTCCAAGAGTTTCAGTGGATGTGTCAAATTTTTCGACTCTTTGAAAAATCTAACTTCCAATCTCTCTTCTGCTTACAGGCAATCTTCTTAACAATCTTCCAAATGACAGATGAAAATGGATCTTATCCAAAAGCTCTCCAGATCACACTCAAAACATGAAATGAGAACTGATAATAACATATTTGCAATCACAGTATCCTTGCTCATCATGGCTTGTGGACTAACTCATATCTATCTGGTTACATTATCATGCCTTACCCCTGACTGAAACTTCACTGGCAAGATGTGAGATGATTTTCATAAACGATATTTAGAGGAATTTTATCAAAGTACAAAGGTACAACTGGCAGGATTGGAGGTAAATTTCACCACAAAATACTCTAACAACTCACCTTGTTCAATAAAATCAGCAAGTAAGCCTGATTTGGCGAAAGAATCGTAAAAATCACCATGACCAGGAGGATACCAGTCTTCAGCGTCACCATCAATACTGGTTGCTATTGGTAGTAGAGTTTCCTTGTTAAGCCTTGGATAACGACTTTGGAGGAAAGTGTAAATCCTGACCTTACAACCTCGATATTTTCTAGACACTTTTTCGGTATCGGCGTCAGTGTTGAACGAATTCATGAGGACCAGTGGCACATCGACATCATACTTTTTATTCAACTGTTCAATATTTTGAACGGTTAGGTCAAGAAAGGTTAAACCATTTCGTACAGCGATCAAAGATTTGGGCCCAACACAACCCATTGAAGTACCAAGACCTCCATTTAACTTTACCACAACCAATTTATTCAAATATGCCTTTACCTGGTCACCATTGGGCTCATGTAAATCACGATAATCAATTATTGCATCTCGTGGTGGAGGCTCAATTTTATCCCATAAAATGGATGGACCAGTTTCCTCCATATATTTGGCGAACAGCTTCTCAAAGCCTGCGAAATCATCAAGAAGACGTTCACGTTGAGGGCTGGGAATATCTCGAACAATTTTTTCCAATTCCGATTTAAGGGCCGCTGGAGCATCTTTTTTGGTCAATTCACGGAACTCGGTTGCTCCACTAATCTTACGATTTGTAACCGTCATTGTTAACTCCAATCAAATTACAAAGCAAAAGCACAAAGGAAAATAGAATAAAATACTTCTTCAGTCAGCACCGAGAAACAACAAAATGCTAAGAGTGTTTTTGCTCGTTTCTAGCTCAACTTTTATATTATTATCAAAATTGTACTTGTGGTTATACGATTATTGAGGGTAAAACAAAATATAATCTAATAATGAAGGAAAAAGCGTTGATTAGCCTCAAATGTTATTAGGAGAGATTGATATTGAAGTAAAGATAAATAGATATTTGTATTATTAATTGTTGTGTAATGTATTGTAATTAATAGTAATAACTTCAACGATACTCTTTCATTTCACTTCATCTTATTAACTTAATCGCTTTGGAATCTTTATCCAATGACAGTTATATTAATTAATTGCCCTTGAAAACTAAACATCAGTTAAATTGTAATGTACCTGTGAATTAGCAGAGATTTATCTCGTTACTCCAAACTCGGAAGATAATTAAGTACAAAAATATTAATAAAATAATACAATCAACAATCCTAAAGCTTTATTTTATAACCATGTTAATTTTGTACTCTATTTTTATGCTATACATATAACAATTACCGTATTCACGTGAATAATGTCACGACACTCTTAGCAATGCAGTGATCAATAAGAGCGGCTTTTAGTTAACAGAATCTCAACTCAGAAAAAGAAAATTTTGTAAAGTTCGAAATCAATCGTTCAAGAGTTACTAAATGACTATTAAATGACTAATAAATGGCTGAGAAAATAAAATCATGTACAGACAAATATCCTTTCAACACAGCATAAGATTTGTGTTTGAATAAGCATCTAACATAATAAATGAAACATTAATCTGACAAATTAAGTAATACAATGCTATGACTTTTCGTGTATGATCTTGAATGATATTTTCTTGATCTATGTCTTTGAAACAGCCCATTATAAGATACATTGTAAAATAATTGGTGAAACAGCGGCGATTGTAAGTGTTGCCATTCCAGAGATATTGAGTCTCAAAGTTATTTTAATTGATTAATCCTTTGACTTTACAGGTTCCCTTGGAGCTTCATTTTCAGTCAAATCCGATATTCATATGGACAAAAAGACTGGTGTTTTACTTGCAACTGTTTTCTGGTCTTGTTTCTCATTTTATCGATTGATCTTCATTCCATTAACATTCATGGTAGGTGGAACTAAATTATTAGCCCTCAGTTTGTTACTTACTTTGCTTGGTGTAGTTGTTTCTGTTCCATGGGCTAATAGCAATGAGGCTTGTCTTTGGGCTGGATTCACACTTGTTGGATTAGGCATATCGACCATCTTCGCAGCTTAACTTGGGAGTCTATCAAGATATATCGTTATTGCTGGTGAAATATCATCTATGATTTTTATTCCTGGAGCTGGTGGATCATTTCATCCTACAAAAGCTGCTACTTTACTCACTAATAGTCCAATTTTATTTCTTTATTACAATGCTTTATTAATTGTTGTATTTGTTATTTCATTCTTGGCATTGATGATATATTGTAAAACGGTATTAAAAACACCAACAGTCCATATTGCTCATCCTTCAATAGGGCCAGGGTTCTCAACACTCAGTGTTAGCCATCATTAAAGAAACCTCATTGACCCAAAATATTGTGTAAAATGACTCATTTTTCATTATAAAACAATGCATTTGTTGCTGAAAAGACACAATTAGCACAATTGTAACATTTATGCATCAAACTTATGAACAAAATGGACAAAAAGAGTGAAAATGAATTTCTTTGAAATTTAAACTCTGTAAGTTCGTAGAACTATAAAAACTACGTTCATTAGTACTATTAAAAACCTTCTCCGATCGACAGTTTCCGAGGAAATTGAGGTCAAAGTTGAAACTTTGATCGCCCTTTGTACAGTTGTCTGACCAGATTTTTCTATGAAACTCATTTCCCTTAAATTAATTTCGATGCTTAACCAGAAAATACCTTTATTTGGAGAAATTAAGTTTTCTATTTTCTATAAAACCCATAAGTTCGATTTTCAATCAAACCGACCGATTTTTGTGACCACAAGAATTAGAGATCTGAAACTGATTTTTCATGCATAAAAGTTGTTTACACATATCATGGGTTGAATGTTTCTTTCAATTTATCAATCTTTCTCTTGATATTGGCCATTGACCTGAAAAGTTTGAGCTTCGATAGTTCGAGAGTGATACCACATGCAATCACCATTCTTTGATCAAACATTAGATTTTGTTATGAACTATAATATGGTGTGATTCAATACCAGTAAAATCTGAGTTAATTCATTTAATACTGATTTGTGTTTGTGCACCCAATTTACTTCATCAACCAAGTCTAAAATCTGGTAACATAAGTACACCAATGCTATAACTTTCATTGTAGGATCTTGAATAATTTGATATTTCAATTAATTATAGCCTATAATGAAATCTAGTATTTGGCCGAAGACTGATGATGATAGGTGGTGTCATTCTCGAAATATTGAGGTTCGAACTTCTCTGGTCAATGGCCAATATCAAGAGAACTGTTTATAAATGGAAAAAAATATTCAATCCATGATTTGTGCAAACAATTTTTATGCACGAAAAATCAGTTTCAGAACTCTAACCCTTGTGGTCACAGAAATCGGTCCGTTTGATTGGAAATCGAACTTATGGCTTTTACAGAAAGCGAAAGATTCTATTTCTCAAAATAAGTCCATTTTCTGGTTAGGCATTTAAATTCACATTAGGGAAATGAGTTGTATGAAAAAAATCTGTTCAGCCAACGGTAAAAAATGCGATCGAAGTTTCAAGTTTGAACGTGATTTTTTCGAGAACTACTGATCACAGAAATCTTTTAATCACCCAAATAAATTCAGTTTTTATTTCCCTACAAACTAGAATAGTTCAAACTTGAAAAAAATCATTTTTGTCCGTTTTTGCCCACTTTGTTCACAAGTTTGTTGCATAAATGTTACAATTTTGTCAAATGTGTCTTTTTAGCAACAAATGCATTGATTTATGATTGAGGTTATTGTTTTATAATGAAAAATGAATGATTTTACACAATATTTCAGGACAATTAGGTTTCTTTAATGATGGCTAACATCTTGGTCGAGTTTAATGGACGAATAATAAGTTTCAAATCTCTAAATATTGTGGTCACAGAAATCGGTCGCTTTGATTGAAAATCAAACTTATGGGTTGTGCAGAAAATAGAAAACTTTATTTCTCAAAATAAGTACATTTTCCAGTTGATTATTGAAAGTTACATCAGTACAATGAGTTTCATTAAAAAATCTGCTTCCATAATTGTACAAAAAGCGATCCAAGTTTCAACTTTGCACTCGCTTTTCTCGAAAACTATCGATCACAGAAACTTTTTAATCGCCCAAATAGATTCAGTTTTTATGTCCTTACAAACCAACAGAGTTTAGTGTTGCATGAAATTGCTTTTCACCCGTTTTTGCCCATTTGAGTGCAAGCTTGATGCATAAATGTGTTAATTGTTTCCTTTTAGTAACAAACCTCTTTCAACGATTCTCAAATCATTTACATTGAAGACAAAAATTCACCACTTTTCGAGTTTAACTTTGAATGCTGACCAAATCCAAAAAGTGACCAATGTCATTGAAAAGTATCTTAACATAGCTCGAATGTTTAACATTTACTATTTTCGGTGAAACAATTTAGTGCTAGTTTTCATTGATTATGTGAATAATTGAATCTTTTTAACATAAACTTGCTTTTCAATGGGATAACAACAAGTGCTTCAATATGTTCAAATATTTAAATTTTTGCTACAGAACCAAAGGAACTTAAAAATCTTGAAATTTTGTAACCAACAATCATTCAAGTTTCAAGACTGAAAGTCCGGTTAAATAATTGATCCAGAAAATCTGGTTAATTTTGAGCTATTTGATTAACAGACAATATGTAGATTGTTGTCTGTATAAATTCAATAACAATTGTTACAAAATTTTCAGGATGTAAGCTTTGAAATCTGTTTTTTAGGAATATTCAATTTCGATCAAAGAGCAACATGAATAAAATGGTTTCCTTTTCTGGTCTAGTTGCTTCTACAACAATTACCAATGGTATATCAATGATATTTGGGTTTATCCACTAAATCATGAGGCAACATGCCATTGTACCAGTGTATCTACGCAATTGACTGTAAAACCAGATTTTAAATTGTATTCATCTATTTTAGTATTAAAAATGGTTTAATCCTTCTAAGAATACGAACAACAATCTGTAATTTTGTTTTCTTTATGACCCTTTGAGTTTCCTTTTTTTCATCTATTGTTTTCACTGTTGCTCTTGTTGTTTTCATGTTGATTTCAATCTGTTTTCATCCCATGATTCAGATAAATTTTCATCCTCTCTTTCTTTATCACTACCTTAAATCTCTCTCTCCTTTCTCACTCTTCTGGATAAACTCCAACTAAAGAAAGATGAGCAAAAAAGTGACAATTTAGTGCCTTTCCAAAAATAAAACAACCATTTTTTCACAAAAAATCCGGCGACATTGGATAAGGTCAACAAGATGTTGTCTGTTGAAGCAAACAACTAACTTCAATTTATCAACCTTTCATTTACATTCGTTCATTGGATCACCATAATTGTAGTCATCAACACCATCATGGTAAACATTGGAAGATGTGAAATTTGATCAAATTATTGCTGTTAGAAGTTTTGAGTTCATTCAGGAATCCGATTTACCATTGATATCTCCATCGTCTATGATTAAGGGATAATTGGTGAAAAGGTCGTAATCCTCCTTATGGTGATAATTTGATTTGAAGTTGAAAATCAGTGAAAAGAAATATTGAAATACTTTTTTTCGTTTTATTCAGATTTTTCCATTTCTTTGGCTCTGGTTTAAAGAAACGGCTTGAAAAATATTTAGACAGAGAGGCGACAAAAGAGAAGATAAAAGTGAAAGTGAAAGGGGAATGAAAAGACAGAGAAAAGGCGTAAATAGGGGAAGATAAGAGAGCAAAGGAAGACACAGAAAGACATAGACAGATTGAGAAAACATTGTGAGTTTGGTGTTTGCTCTCACTTTCTCTTCTGTGTCTTTTTTGTTTCCTTTACCTTACTTTTTTGTCATCATCATAATCATCAGATGAAGACGATGATGAAGAAGAGAGAGAAAGGGAAGAGGTGAGACAAAAGAAAGGCAAATGTGACGAAGAGAGAGAAACAGAGAAGAAAAAAAAACAAGGTTCGAATGTTTTTTTGAACAAAGAAAACATTTTAAGAAAATAAAATAAGAAAACTAAAGGAGAGTAACAATTAACATTATCATCGTCTACCCATTCTTATCCTTAACAGCATTGTCCTCAACAGTAAAATTTACATCACCTCACAGTAATGATCATCAATTGTCGTCCTCATCGTCATCATCGTTAAATTTTACAATAGTGTTGTGTCCAGTTTTTTGATAATCACCTGTGTCTTTCAATTTTTGTCCTGTGTGCTTCCGTTTGTCTTCTGGTATCTTTTTGGGTCAACAGTGAACAATGATTGGGATAGTTTAAAATTTGTGATATTTCTTATGACTTGAGTCTTGATTGCTTCTGTTTTTTTTTAAATTTATTGAATTGTCCAAACTTTGTTTAATGGCCCTTTGACGTTATTTCATCATTGATCAATTATTAAAACTACAAAGATGTGATTAATCAGAACTGTTATGGTTGTGGTTTACTTTCCACTTCGCAGTTGATGTGATCGTGTTAACTCAAAATCTACACACATTCAAAGCAACCTGTTGTTTTTGGATTTACTTTAGTCATCGATTGAATTCTGTGGATTAACAGGATTAAAAATGATTCCAAAGGTGAGATACCATAACCTTTTAATTGGTTAGGCTTGTTCAAGTGATTTCAACCAGAAGTTATTGAGTTTGGAGTTTCATTGATTAGGATTAAAAGAATCAGGCAACCATAGATGATAACCTTGTCTACAAATGAATGGTGCGAAATATTTTCAGAATTCCAGATTTTCTCATTGTTATTTGTCTTGATTCATTTAACTTTAGTCATCCTTAGCTTTTCTCCTAGTCAAATATCTAATCAACATTTCAATTGTTCGTCTTGCAATATTTGCATTTCGAAATTGCTGAAATTTTGGAAATGAAATCCTAAGTGTTGCTATGAACTCGTATTTCCAACTGTAAATATTTTGCAAACTAATCAGGCAAACCATCGGATTGCTGGTCAACTTTGGGTTTTGTCTTTAAAACAAAACCCGAATTTACTACTAACTCATTGGGTCACAATTGGCAGCAAATGTTAGTTGATTAAAGCGATTGACGAAAAAAAAGTTCCAATAATTGAATCACAAATCAAAGAGTAATCTGAACTTTCCAATGTTTGATCACATTTTTCTTTGACTCAATTAGCAGCATGACAGAAACGTCAATAATAAGTTCTCGACTTGATTAACTGCTAATAATAAACTTGTGTCAAAAAATTCAAAATTTTCGTGTTTGATTCTGCTTTTGTAGGTCAAGTTTTCATCAACTTTGCTCAAATTTTTCTCATTTGATTCAGTTTTCTTGCTGGAAAACCTAAAAGGTTTAAAGGTTAACCCAAAAAGTTTCCTTTGAAATCAACATTTAACCAACTCAAGGCTAAATTTAATTACGATTGCCAACTTTCCAATCGTCATTTAGTTACTTTCTATTTTAACCTAAACCTTTGTTTTCCTTTATTCTTCATATCATGTTAGTTGAATGTTTAAATTGGGCAAGTCTCTATTGTATTAATTTAACAGCATTAAAAGATTACCAAAGCAATTGTTATAATCTATCTGATTCACAATGTCAGCTAAAATTGAACTTGCATGAAACATAAAGGTATTTTTGAATCTTCAATGATCCATTTTTAACCAGATTTAACCGTTTTTTTATGTCTCCTTACACACAGAGGTTAACCTTGTTAACTTGCTAACCCAAAATCTTAAATTTTACACCAACATCATCTAATTAATGATTATTTAATACATTCTCATGATCTCAACAATTTAATAATGTTACCTTAATTTTGGCAAACTTTCGTCTAGATTATTATTGCCATTTCAAAAATTTAGACTTATTATTGATAATATTTTGCGCGAAAAGTAAAGATACACATTTGTGGGTTAAAACGCATTACCAAGCTAACCAAGACATAAAATTTGAACTCAACTGTTAATGTTTGCTCATTAATTATAACATTTTTAGTCATGCTTCAAAATTTTAGACACATTGATATCATTTTATGCTTTAACGTTATTATCTTACCATCTTCATCTTTTCAGCAAAATATAATTAAACCTGCAAAAGATATAACCAAAAGATATTAAGCCAAAGGTGTTAATCCATAGATTTTATGGAAAATATTTTTTCTCACACTCTAAACCAATGTGTCATCAGATCAACAGTATTTTCCGTTAAACAAAATGTATTGACATCAATCCAAACCAATCCAGTGTCTTCTATAAATTTATTTCAGGATAATATACCTTCACCGTGCCATTTATTGTTAAGTGTTAATCATGTGTCTGGAAGCATAAATGGATATTTGAATGTTTTATGTCGCCAAATTGGACTTTATTTTGTAAATGTTTTCCCTGTGATATTTAATTTCCACATTTTGTAGATCGTGAAACTGAAAACACCGAGAAATATTATTTTACTATTCTTCTTGCATGTTTAATCTTATTTGAGATGAAAGCTACAACTCAATTACATTTCACTATTTGTACATGATGACCAAAGTGTTAAAATCTTCTGGATTTTTATAACCAAATGTCAATTATTAATGCCTTAATGACGACCTTCGATCAGGTCAATATGATTATATTATACTATCTTCAGTTTACTAACCATGACTGTTATTTTATAATATCATTCACAGGCAATTTCAATGGATCTTCGGCAATTATTTTGCCTCCTTCTATTCTTCATACTATATGTTGTGATTGGAGGTACAGTGTTCATGATTCTTGAATCAGCTCAATCAGAAGCGGATAAAGAAAGGGAACGAGATACACTTTTACAAATTAAAGGTAAGTTTATTAAAAGAAAATTCAGTGGAAATTTACATGATTGCTATCAGTTTTCTGTAAACAGTTTCTTTGTGATCATTGATCAAAGCAAACAGTTCACAATCAGAGTTACAATTTCTCTTTGAACTTCTTTCAAAGTTGTAGACTGAATCAACATGTTAGAATTTCATTTACTGCAAAGTCAGTTGTTTCTGCTCCAAATGTTGATTCGAATGATAGCTACTGTAAATTTTGTTCAATGTCAACAAGCAAATGTCTCAATTTAGCACAATACAAATTATAATTTTGTTGGTCACAATGAAAAGTATTGGCAATGATTTTTGTTTGGTATCATGATATTTATTTTAACAATTGCATTATTTTTTCTCTTTTCTTCAATTAGATATTTTAATAGACATGAATTTAACGAATGAGGATAATGAGGATCGACGTTTAAAGATGTTAAATATAATTGGTCAACGAGAATCAGTTCTTGACCCCGAATACGCCATGAGATGGGGTTTTTTTAATTCTTTTTTCTTTGCCATAACTGTTGTAACAACAGTTGGATATGGACATTTATCACCATCAACTCCTGCAGGAAGGATATTCTGTATTATTTATGCGCTGTTTGGCATTCCAATGACCGGTATATTATTAGGAGCTATCGGTGATCGATTTAGTCGATGTTTTCTTAATAAGGTAAATATATTGCTTTATATTGATGAGAGATGAAGATCACTATAGCTTGTCCATTTACTCTGTTCATGCTGGAAACAAGCCACTCATTTGCAGACTAATGTTGTTTTTCAACCCATCTAAACAAGAGAGCAGAAAATTTCACTCATTTATATGTTTTTAGTCTGAATTCGGATCGTATATACATAAAAATCAAATTGAGTCGAATTGAATTCGGGATTTTGGCTAATCAAATCTAAAACAAGTTTACAAACTCACTCTATTAATTTCAGTTAGGCTTGCTATTTAAATTGGCCTTGCTTTGCTATTTGTGAATGTTTAGTTTAAAATAAACTCAAATAATATCTAAAAACTACTGAAAAATAATGTTAAATCAAAAATTACGGTCATTTTCGGAGGGAATTAGAAGATATCTAGCTTTGAATCGCGATGTAGGTAGTGACAGTTTTTTTGCTTCTCTTATGTGTATAATTAAATTTGTTGAGGTTATTTTTAAGGTTATTTGGCTGTGTATTTTTAACCAAGAAACTTAATGATTCAATGAGTGAGCTCATTATCTTCTGATTTTTGTCTCTCATTCTTTATTGCCAATTTAACAGCATTTTTAATTTACTTCATTAATCATTGTTTCTTTTTTTTCAGATGAGCCAAATTAGAAAGGAACCTCTACAACATTTATCACAAAAACTTCTTGTTCTTCGACATGCAATGCTTTTCTTTCTTCCATGGTTCATTGTATTCCTCATTATTCCTGCATTTCTTTTTCAAATAATTGAAAATTGGACTTTTCTTGAGAGTTTCTATTATTGTTTTGTTACACTTTCAACCATTGGATTCGGTGATTTAGTTCCAGGTAAATACAATCGAAAATATTTTTTGCAAATTCCCAATTTCCTAATATATTTGGTTTATTCTTATCTTATGTGAAGGTCAATTTTATCAAAAATGGGTTTGGATTTACAAAATAGCTGCAGTTTGCTGGATAATATTTGGACTTGCCTATCTTTCGATGATACTCAACTTTATCAGTAAAGGTTTTCGAAGTCAACACTTGAGCAATGTTGTCCATTCAATAAGAAGAATCTCAGTTCCACCTCGAAGAATTAACTTTGCCGGATCACCTAACAAACCTAGATTCGGGAATGGCTCAACTCCAACGAGTCCATCATCTCCAGACTTTAGATCAACAACACCACAATTTTTGGTTTCATGTGATAAACCGCCTGCACTGAGTAATCTGGTGAATATTACACTTGACGAAACAAAGAAAACTTATATATAGCAAATCGTATTACTCTTAAGCGTAATTTCAAAACGATTTAATATATTGATGGTCAACGAGAATATTTACAGTGGTGATCATAATGTGCCTTGAAGCTCGTTGGATTCCTAAAAGCATGTTTGATGTCTCATTCGCCAAAGTGCCTTATTAAGTGATCTGATTGTACTGACTGTTTCCAACTGTATCCAACTGTTTCCTGGTCAATGGAATGGGAAAATTTGGAAAATCGTGAATAATTTGTATCTTTCGATTCCGTCTAAATACTCAAAACACTTTGGCTGATTGACTTCACCCTGTTGACTCCTAATATTGATTATGGTTAAATTGGCACAACAGATGTTTAATCATTGTGATAATCATTGTGATTAATTTTTTTACAATAGACAAATTGTCATGCTATAATCTGAATCTCTTGATACATTTACTTGCTAGTCAATAATGTATTTTTTTCATTTACCGAATAAGGTAACCAAAGAAAGTTGCCAAATTTCCATTTGCTTTTTGCAATGGAACTGTTATAAATGTAAGAAAACGAAGTGAGAAACATTGTTATATTTAAATACTCACAATTTCATTTAGTAATCAATTTTATCAAATCAATCATCATCCTTTTCTTCAATCTAATTCCGATTTCTCTTTTTCTGTTTTCTGTATCTTTTTTCTCTACAACATATTCCTTTTCCTTTCATTCATGATGTAACAATCATTGATCAAAATTTTATTTTACATAAATACGAGAGTTCATCTCTGAACCTCAACTCTATTAAACAATTAATTTAATTTATTTAAAGATTCAATGCTCTCAAAGTTCATTTTAGTTAAATTCACCAATAACTATTTTGCTAAGACTGAGATTTCAAAGTTAAATTTTTATTTAAATACTGTTTCAAACTGAACTTGATCGCAAGACAAAATTGTAAAAATTTCAGTGAATTGTTACTGTGATGAAGATACTCTGATGTAAGGATGACAAGGTTATTTAATAATAGTCTAGCTTAGTTGGATGCTCATTCTGCAAGTTGCTTTCAATACCAATCCTGATAGCAAAATTATTTAAATTCCGATTCTTTCCAATTGTGTCTCCAATCATCGGTTTGCTTGACAATATAAATGGAGTTATTGTAATCTAATAAACGATTCACAGTTTCATTTTAAACAGAGAAATAACCTTCAATTTTAGAAATATAATTACACTTGTGATTGAAAGCCATTATATTGATTTTAAATTCAAGAACAATTGAAACTGGGCAAAGTATAACTACGAGTTCAATTTCAAAGGTACACAAAATAACGAATCATATTGTTGCAATCATATCAATAAATAATTGACAAAAATTGAAAATATGAGCTTTTTTAAACATCTAAAAATCATACAAGCTGTTGCATTACAACGAAACTGATTATGATTATTCTTGTAACCTTGCTCATCATAAAATTCAAGAGAAAACTCATCAATAAGTCAATAACTTAAAGAGAGATTATGTTTCTTTTAAAATCTGAAAACTCATGATGAGATAGAGAAAGGTCTCATGACTTAGCGTGGCTCTTGAATCATTATTAGCTGCAATTTTTATTTTTCATCCACGATTGTTTGATGGGAAATCGGTCAATCCCAAAATATTTGATCTGATTGGTGCTTGGTGTATGTTTGTAGGTGATTAAACATTAACAGACCCGATGTACGTTGTCAAGCTCAAGTGTTAATTTTCAAGTCGAAAATATCTTGAAAGAATCTGAGAAACATTATGGAAAAGTGAAAATGTTAAGAAAATGTAAGATAATGCACAAACGAGTGAGATCATTGTAGCATTAACTGGAATTTAAATTTTTGGAACATTCGATTGTTTTGTTTTTCCCTTTTTATAGGCACCATTAAAGTGTAAAATACAATTTTTTATATAAATTCAAATAATTAACTATTCATCTTCAGAAGAACCAGTTCCTCTTTTCACTTTACGTTGCCTAGGAGATGCCTTATTTCTTGGTGATTTGTCTGCGAAAAAAGGAAAGAAAATACATTATTAAAAACACATTTTTCCTCGTACTGAATTGATCTTACTTATAGCTGAAAGAGTTTCGGGTGGCAGCCAGTCGTAATCAACATCCGTTGTACTAACAGTTCCAACCTCCACTTTTGCTTTAGGTGCAGAAATTCGCTTTTTCTAAATTTAGATTCAAAAAAACATTCAAGTTAATTTTTTAAAATTTAAAAGTGACAAATATTGGAACTTACGCTCATAGAGAAGAAAAGCTGTTGTGCACCGAAAGCGAGCAAACCGACTAATGCAATCAAGAAAATATAAAGGAAAATAGTTTCTCCGTCTAATCCTTCATCAACTTCTACTATCGATACTGTTTCATTAAACACGGCGTTCATGAATTGATTTCCATCCTAAAAATGAAATAAGTTTAGCATTAGTAAAGTAGAAATAATGGTCAAATCAAATTAATAGAATACCTTGTCTTTGTAATGAAGTTCAACAGTAAATCCATATGGTCTAGTGCTGTAAGCTTCACTTATGAAGAAAGAATATGCCAATGTAGTTTCCTCGTTTGGTTTAATAACCTTGTTGTATGGTATGGCGGAGAACTGAAAATAGATAAAATCAATTAAAATTTCAGTCGAACAAAAAAAATTGATCCAGAAATTGAAAAAGGAGAAACTGTAACAAGCAAACAAAATATATAGAGCTATAACACATCATCTTAACGCACACTTCAGAAAAGGCTACATGAATAACAAGTAGATAACTTAAGATTTGCAATCTCAGCAAAAGAATAGGTCTGATAAAATTCAGTTGAAGAACTAACACCATAAAGAGTTGAAATAGTTGGGAAGCTAATCAAAGATGAATAAAAAAATTTCGTACATTTTGAATGTGGAAGTTAAAATCCATGGCATATCGGAATGAGGCTCCCATAGATTCAACGATGAAGTCTTTCTGACCTCGATTGGCAAATCCAACCAAGAAGTGAGCATCGGAATTAGCAGGTAATTCTGAATTAATAAAAAGAGTTATTATAAGCAAAATATACGATATTTAGAATAGAGATTAAATAAGGAAATGAAAATCTATCAATGAGGAAATAAGAAATTTGCATAGCTCTCACCTAAACCTTTTCCAGCTGGCTTGGTAAACATGAAATAGGTATCAACATCAGGACTTGGCTTCAAAGATAAACTGTCATCTTCGTCTTCTCCAGTACCCGAGACCAATGCATCACCACCAGCATCTTCTTCAACAGCAGCTTCATCTTCACCTTCTACAGAATCACTACCGGCATTAGGTTCATTTTTTTGATCAGCAGCATCTACACCTTGAAAACCTAGATAACAGAGAAAGCCAATGATAACACAAATTAGACAATTTCAAGGTAGCCAAAATGAAATGAGTAACTCGATAAAATAAACATGGCAATTAATAAACAAATGAAACAGGTAGCATGACATGAGTCTAACTTGCCACGTAAGTCATAACGAGTAACCCGGTTGATCAAAGTTGGTAATCTTAGTGGACAAGCCAACAAGAACTTACTTATTGTCGGTGAGAATAGATTTAATGGTATAAGAAGCAGTAAAATCAATGATATTCTATTGAGTAACATCATTTTGACAAAAAAATATAAAGATTCAATTAATTAAATAATTAAATTAAATTAATAAAACCAGGTAAGAAAATGAAAAATAACAAGTTTAATAGACTCTGAGACTCTCAGCTTCCACACGGAAACTCTTTTATCTTTGAGAAGAGCCATCTAACGGTGAAAAGAATAAATCCAGAATAAAAAATCACAATTAAAGTAACTGTAAACACTCTTAATTTCAAGAAACATAAAGCAATTTAATTATCGCAATCGACTTAAAATAAATCACCATTACCATAATCATTTTTTCTCAAAAATTCAGGTTATTTTCAAATCAAATTGATGAGTTGGAAAAGCTTTTCGGAAAAGCCTTTTCGCAAAAAAATGATACACAGTAAGTATTAATTATTCCAACAGATGGAGTCCTTCAAACAAATATCAAAAATTTAAATTACTGTAAACATCGAACTAAACTCGTTTAGTTCTGTATGTAAAGTTCAATCAAGAAACTCGACCTGCTGAATAAAAAGTGTTACCAATGGACAAGATGTGAAGAGTGATTTCTTGGAGTTATGAAGTTGTTTAACAACGTTTGATAACAATACTTTTCCTTAAAGGTAGGAATGAAGCAAACCTTAGTAATCAAAGTTCAAACCAGAAAATAAATTTTCATTTGTGATTGAATCTCTCGAGTTGCAAACTTTGTGAGCATCAATTAGTGCATCAAATTAAACGGATCTGTACTTATACACACAAAGGTAAGTGATATCAGATGAACTAATGTAAATAAAGAGTTGGAAAAATATATTAACTCGTTTCTTTCATGAGCGAGAGTGAATCGATCCTCAACATTGAGACAATATTCAAATAAATCTGCTTAACTCTTTATATAGAAGTGCATATTATTGGTAACAAACGATTCTTATGTCCGAGTTCACCTGAACTATTATTGATATTCATTAGCACTACTTAGATAGCAGTGCAACGACATAAGCAGTAAAGCCATTTTTAACAGAGTTAACATCAAATGGATGCAATGGGTAATTCAAATTACCTAAGAACCAGTGTTTATTCAATTTTCTGGTTAACCATTTTTACTTTATGCATGTGTATCCACTTAAACCCATTCTTAATCTGATCTACGTGATTCACCATTACCATGGGTTTTACTGTTTACCCAAAAGTTTCTTCTTTTGACATATGAAATGTCTTGCTCCAGAGTTTCCTTACAATCTGAACCCAAAAACTGTTGGTCGTAAGGTTTTTAAATCTTGATTGGTTTACATCTCTTAATGCATGGAATGTTGACTAAAATTTGTCTTTCTTGATTCTCTCGACTCATTCAATGAAGGCAATTTATCCAATTTATGTAACCGGACTGTATGGGTGATTCACTGCTGAACTCATCGGAAGCTAAGTGAAACCTTTTTTGTTACCAAAAGACAGCGAGTTTTTGCTAAAATTACAGATCAGCTTTGTCTGCTAATGGAAGATAAAGTTCGGCAAACTAGTGAATTAAGCCACTTCATTTTCATGAGTCTATTCAATTTACTCAATGTAATTGAAAAGATAATTGTGAGTATTCCTTTCTAAGAAAATATAGCGGACAAAATACCAATCAATGTGAAGCGATAACAGCGAGTGCTTGAAATGACCAACAATGTATTGTATTGATCTGATGATATTACCCAGTTTTTTCAGGTAGGAAAAATACATTCAAATGTAGTCACAGTTTTGCATCACTTGATGAAAAAATGCTGCCTAAGCATAAAGTTTTATCACAACAATCATCAATTCCTAAAAAACCTGACTTTGCTGATTTACTCGATCCCCAGCTAGATGAGAGCGATATTGAAGATGACATATTGACAACTGGTGGTCTTGAAACAAATCCAATTATTTTTGATCGGCCTTTTTTCATAATTGATAAATTTTGATTTCAATTTCAGATTTTTGCATAGTATGATAAAAAATAACAAAAGCATTTAAATCTATTCAAGCAACCGAATGTACGAGAAAAAAGAGATTGGCGAGCATTTTCCAGATGACAGTCCACCTCAACTTATTGGCAAAATATTGGGTGAAGATGTTTGGGAAAAAAGACTATTCAAAGGAACTCATTTCTTAATTAGTACATTTACAGCTCATTGGAATTCAGACGTTTATGCTGATCCAGATAAATTTGATCCTAAAAAATAGAACCCTGAAAATTAAGGTAAAATTCCCAAAGCAATATACTGCATTCACCAAGATTTTGCCTTGGGAATCGTTTTGCAACTCATAAAATCAAAATATTTGTTATAAATGTTGTCCGTAAGTTGATAACATCTATAACAGCAATTAAAACTATGTTATTTCAAAAAATGAAACAATCCTTTTGGAGAAGGCTTATTAAGAATCCTGGTTGATCATTAAAAATGATACTGTCACGCCAAAATTTTAAAAATCAATCAACACTCTGTAAGATAGGTTTATGCGAGATTTGCTTGAAAATACATTTCCTTCGACATCTTTTATCTACCAGTTCGTGGCCATACTCTAGAGAGATTAAAGTCACGAAATTTGACTTGAATTTCATTGAAGGTGATTCGACATTTAAAGATCAGTTTCTGTAAACGTAACTTTTTTTAGGTTCATTTTTTGATCCGCAGCACCTACACCTTGAAACCCTAGATAGCAGAGAAAGCCAATGATAACACAAATTAGATAATTTCAAGGTAGCCAAAATGAAATGAGTAACTCGATAAAATAAACATGGCAATTAATAAACAAATGAAACAGGTAGCATGACATGAGTCTAACTTGCCACGTAAGTCATAACGAGTAACCCGGTTGATCAAAATTGGTAATCTTAGTGGACAAACAAAACCAAAAAAACGTCACTTAATAGGAGTTTGACACTATTCGGTTGATAATCTCATAACCGAACATCACTCCAGTTGAGAAAATGAAAATTATCAATATTGATAGACTTGGAATTTTCAGACTCTAAAAACTTGACCAGCTGAAGTTCAACTTCCACACGGAAACGCTTTCACCTGCAAGAAGAGCCATCTAACGATAGGAGAATAAATAATTGTTAAAAATCACAATTAAGTAACTGTAATTAACTCTAATTTTGAGAAATATCTAAAGCATCTCAATCATTGGAATCGATTTAAATTAAATCTTTGCTATCGTTATGATTGTTCCATAAATTCTGGTTATTTCCAAATGAGATTGATGCTTCGACTCAGCAAAACATAACTGATTAGTTACATGAAAAGCAAGGAAAAAGATGTTAAAAATTACAAGATAAAACACGATTGAAGATATTGATGATAAGCTGAAGCTTTCATGTGAATCGATTAATTTTAAGGAAAAGATTGAAATTTCTCTGACAATAATCTATCAAGGCTGTTCGCTAGCAATTTAATGCCAACTCAGCTTGTTCTTAATCAATGATCGATTATTATTTCGTAAAGAAGTTTATTATTGTAGTAGAAGGCTTGAAATTGTGATGTGAAAATATTGTCTAAAGATAATACTATAAAATAAGATAATTGTTTCAACCTTTTTAAATTGTAATCTTTTAATAAAAATTAAATTCACTTTTGTTTAAGTAAATTTGAATATCCCTCGCTAGTGGGTTTGTTGTTTTTTCAGCCTGACATCTATTGACTGATCTTCAATAGATCAGGTAACTTTTGAAAAATTTCTTCATTGTGTGTGTATTAACTGTTAATTAATTATTGTTTTGTTTGCTTATCTTTAATTGTCAAGCTATACGAAAGTTAATTTCTTGTGTTTCTTCCTTAGCTATATTTTTCTTTAATCATGACATTAAACCCAAATTACGCTGATATTGGCAAAAACTTTGTTCAACAATATTATACCTTATTCGATGATCCCAATCTAAGAGCCGGTATACTTCCTCTTTATTCGGTAAATTGCTTTATTATTTGCTTCTGGACTTTACCCAATTTCCCACTGGTCAATATTTAGTCAACCAATTCAACAATTACTAACCTTGCAAGTCAATATTCAATCAGCTTTTAGGCCTTACACATTCCTACAATGTCATCCTTTAACCATAAACCTCGTCTTTTTTCCTTTTGTCTCACCCTCAGCCTCTTTCCTCTCTGCCTCTTTCTCTCTCTCTCTCTCTCTCTCATCTCTTTACTATGTCTCATTATCACTCCCTATTTATCTCCTTATCCTCAGATTATCTCTGAATATCTATTAACTTTTTTAATATTGAATCCGATTTTTCATTGGAAAATGTTTTTTTTCTTCTTGCAATTGCTAGGAAACCAACTCTTTGATGACATTTGAGGGAGAACAACTTTTGGGTCGAGTAAAGATCATGGAAAAATTACAAGGATTAACTTTTAAGACAATTAAGCATGTGGTTACCACTGTTGATTGCCAGCCAACGTTTGACGGAGGGGTCTTAATTGTTGTTCTTGGCCAACTCAAGACGGATGATGATCCACCACACACCTTTAATCAGGTTTTTGTTCTGAAACCACTGGGAGATACCTTCTTTGTGGAGCACGATATTTTTAAACTTGCCTTACACATGTGAACTGTAAAAAAACAATATAACAATTTACCTTTAAAGCCAAAACAATAAATGAAATTGAATCAACAAATAATCAGTTATCACAACTTCTCTAATCACAATAAGATGTAATTCTCTGTTACCATGCTCTTGATTTATCGTCTTTCTGTCTGCATCTCTTATGTTTTTTCCATTTGATGTGATTATGAAAATGAAATAAAAATGAAGATGATAAATATGATTACGTTGGTTAATTTGGATTATATATAAATATATTGTACAGATGATACAATCAAAACAGATTGAGTATCTCTAAACACAACTTGACAATTGTAAAACAAAACCTCATTTTCAGTACTGTTAAACATGTTTCCAGAAACAATTAATATGAATGGTTCCATGAATGGAGATGCTGTATCTACTAACCATATTACCTACAACTATGAACGCATCGAGAAAATTGCCCGATTTCTTGCTTCCAGAACAACAATTAAACCTAAATTGGGAATCATCTGTGGCTCTGGACTCAATGGGATAACAAGTCAAATGAAGGACGGACAAATCATAAAATACAAAGAGATTCCTGATTTCCCTCAATCAACAGGTATTTATTTTAACCGTTTTTATCCAACATTCAAATAATACTTTCAAATCAAACTATTTGTCAACAGTTGCTGGCCATGATGGTGTACTAGTGTTTGGACTGTTAAACAGTGTACCAACTGTTGCAATGAAAGGCCGTTTCCATTCGTATGAAGGACATGCACCCGAAAAATGTGCTTTACCAGTCAGAGTTATGAAATTACTCGGTGTTGAGGTATTAATTGTGACCAATGCTGCAGGAGGACTTAATCCTGATTACAATGCTGGAGATATTATGATAATTAAAGATCACATTAGTTTACCTGGTTTGTCCGGTGATAGTCCATTGAAAGGGCACAATGATGAACGATGGGGACCTCGATTTCCTGCTCTCAATAGAGCTTATGATGTCAATTTGATCAAGAAATTTGAAAATTGTGCCAGACAATTAAACCTAAGTGAAGGTTTACGTAAAGGAGTCTATTTTATGGTCTCTGGTCCAGCTTACGAGACGGTAGCTGAGTGTCGGTTAATGCAATTACTTGGTGCTGATGCTGTTGGTATGAGTACAACACATGAAGTTACCGTTGCTGTACATTGTGGCCTCAAGGTTTTAGGCCTTTCTCTGGTCACTAATAAAACGGTCATGGATTGGGATTGTGTTGATACACCTAATCACACTGAAGTATTGGAGGTTGCTGCTAAAAGAGCGGGTGACATGGAATTGTTAATTAACCATTTCGTTTCCACAATTTTCAACAGTTAACTTTTAGGAAAAACAAACTCTTTTTTTTAATCACAATCATCATCTATAATTATCATGAGATATTTCCATTTGTTTTTAATTATCTGTATCTATCTGATTGAGTGTTTCCCCGAGATATTGGCAAGATTACATTTATTATCTTAGATTGTATCGAGTATCAAATAGTTTTTACCTTCATTTTCATCTGTGGATTCATTTGTTTCACTATTTATCTCAGCGATTCCAATCATTAAATGCCAATATCTAATCGATAACTTAGTTTGACTTAGATAATAATTTACCTTAATGGTAATAATTATGTAATATTCAATCCTGAATCAAAATAAACTCCTGTTATTACAATCTAGAATCTTCAAACGACCGTTTTTATCTTATTATCCAAGTGTTGATTAATTATTTTCTTGTATGCCTTGTAATTGTAAAAAGATTGTTTTCATATTTCTTTAATCATCATTATCAGTGGAAAACTTGATTACAATTTTTATAATCAGAATCCAAATAATAATGATACTGAGGTTTGCCCAATTCATGAGGTCCTCATATTTATTTAGATGCTTATTTATAACCTTTCTGAGTGTCAAGTGAACTTGAACCAGCTAAATCCACATTAATTGGTTCAATGTTGGTTTAAACGAGCAACTGTTAGCATTCATTTGGTTTCAATAAACTGGATCTAGATTGAATTTCATTTGACCCTTGTCTCGATCTTTGATTAGATAAACTTATATTACATAGCAATATAATTATGTGCAACATGAATGACTGTAAAGTTGTGCAAATTAATTTTTATATTCCTTGATTAAATGTTCTGTAACACTATCAAATATAAAATTGAAATAACATCACATAAATTCATAAAATAAAATGGGATCAGTTGTAGCCTAAAGATAGTTATCTAGATAATTTACACTGGAGGTGAATTTATGTTGAAATGGTTATTGATGTGACGATTAAGATAGTAATAATAAAAGAGCAATATTTCTCCCAGGAATGCCTTATTAGAATGTAAATCAAATTTGCTCTCAGTGCTATAATCACGAGAATATTGCTTTGATGAGATGGAGAGATGTTTAGATTCGAAGGCTCAAAATGCCACATTTGTTGGGCTCCATATCGATAAAACCACAAATCCACTAAGATATCGAATAAAGTTTCAATTCTTTAATTGTATGCTTCTATTAAAAAATGAAAAAGTTTGTTTTTACACATAATAAATATTCATCTGCTTAAATTATCTTTGTATAACGTTTTCAATAGTATATGGCTGAGTACATCATGGTCCAAGTAACCTAGAAATAGATTGGAGATCGAATTAGAAATTTCAGAATTATGAACATTCCCCCTTTTGAAGGAAGGTTAAGGTTGAATCAAGGTGTTTTACTAAAACAATTCATGCTCGATTTCGATATAAACGAATGAATGCGTTTTAGAATCTTTTTGCCCTTTTCGAGCTCATCATAGCGATAATGCTAAAAGTTTGAAAATCGAGCAATAAAATTGATTTATCAATAGCCATTGAAGGAAAGCTAAAAATTACCAAAAATCCGGCAAAAGACGTCATGAAACCTTCTTTGACAAATTCCATTATATCTTCGGTATCATTATTGAATCGGACTGTTGGAGATTAAATTAAACAATCAATTAGGTTATAGATGATAAACACTTTAATGACTAACCTGAATACAAATAAACTGCTATGGAATTGAGAGCAACAAAAGACGCAATACCAAAGAATCCGGTAATTCCTGAGAAGAGATAGAAGAGAAACCCAATTAGATAAGTTGCATGAGTATGATTTTATGTAAGTTTGTAAGGAAGAGGAAAACATGCTGTACATACCTATAAATCCCCAAATCATACCCATGAAAATGGCTAACACTTGTCTACTCCAATAAATGACATCCAAAAATTGGTCCTAAGAGCATAGGTCAAAGTTTCATGTGGATCAATAAAACAAAATAAATAACATTGTACCGTTTGAGCCAGTCTGAGAAAAATAAAATCATAAAAATTGAAGTTACCTTGTCTTCCCATGATGAGTTTGGAGTAAACATGCGTTTCCAAACATTATCGGAACTATTTAGTTTTGAACTAGATGGCAAATTTTTCTTCATAACTAGAACTAATTAATTTAATTATAAACAGCAACCAGAACAGGCAGAAAGACACTTCTTAAAATTTACAATTTTCCGTGGCTAAAGCTGTGAAAATAGACAGTAAGTTATTTTCAAGGAAGCTATTTTCACCAAAATGAAGTGTCTCACTAAAAATGTGAATTGTAAAATTGATGGAAATAGTAATTTAATTTAATTACACGAAGTGAATCCAATCAATACTAATTAGCAATCTAAATTTTTGGAATTTTCAACTATTCTACTTTGAGACTATTCACACAAATGCAATTGTAACTCCACTCCTTTTAACACTGAGTTTAATTAAGAAAGGCTAATTTTTCTGGTAATTTTCAACAAACCAGTTCGATTTTAAGCTAAACCTTCCACATTCTATACCTTTAAGAGAAAGAGGACTGAAATTTATTATTCGTCGATAAAGTTTGTTTTTTCACATAAAATATCGAACACTTTTTTCAATTTATCGACAATTCTCTTGATTTTGGCCATTAGCCTAAAAACTTTGAGCCTCAATATTATATTTTGAGAACGGCACCTAAAATCATCATTCTTTCATTAATCATTAGATTTTATAAGATAATATGACAGAATACCGAAGAAAATCTGAGCTATTCATTTAATAATGAAGATCCTTCTAACACATCGTAAGATTTGTGTCTGAGTAACCATTCACCATTTATAAATCAAGTATCAAATCTGACAGCATAAGTAATTCATCGCTATAATTAATTTTGCATGATCGATTACCGGTAAACAGTTTCCGTTCTCTTACTCATACGGTCTTAGAAAGCGGAAGGTTTGCCTAAAATTTAACTGATCTGTTGTACAGAAACGGAAAATTTCATATCTCAAAATTAGTGCATTTTTGGTTGTTCATTAAAATTAAATGGATTTCATGAAAAAATCTGCTTCATAATGGAACTAAAGGCGATCTAAGTTGCAACTTTCAACTCGATTTCCTCAAAAACTGTCGATCGATTTCAATAGCACTTATGTACTCAGTTTCCATGCTACTAACCATGTTACAAACCTACAAAGTCGAAAATCTTAAATTAAATGTTCAAGCCTTTGGCATTAATCCATAGAGTTTAAACAGACGCGCCATACTCTATGGCAAATAAATAATCTACTACATATCCAAGGATTAGAATCTTATTAGATATTTTTTAGTAAGAACGGCTAATCTTCATGCAGTGTCTTCTTCTACTCTTTGGTTTTAATTCATTAAAATTATCTGTGATATAAATAATGATTGAATTAACTGCTAATTGTGTCTTCCTTTTAGATATTGAAGGAACAACGACGTCAATTTCGTATGTTACAGATGTTCTGTTTCCATACGCTTTAAACAATCTTGAAAGCCATCTAGAATCAAATTGGTCTAGTAAACAACTTCTTGAGGATATTGATTTGCTTAAACAGCAATCCTTAATTGATGTGACCAATGGATTGATCGATAAACCATTACCTGATAATATTGACGATCTTCAATTCAAAAGTCAACTGGTCAGCTATGTTAAAAAATTGATCGATGGCGATGTCAAGTGTACCGCTCTTAAAAAATTGCAGGGACACATTTGGAAAGATGGATTTGAATCTGGTTTGATCAGAGGACAGTAAGTTTATTTCTGAATGTACTGAATATATCAATCAACATTAAGAAGATTTCTTATGTCCATTTATTTTTAGTGTTTACGATGATGTGCCTAAAGCTTTGGAAAGATGGGCAAATAAGTTCAATTGTGATATATATATTTATTCATCTGGAAGTATCGAAGCTCAGAAACTGCATTTTGGGAACACCATTCATGGTAATTTACTTCCGGTTAGTTTTCTAAATTGATTGCGTGATATTCAAATATTATGAATGTTGAAAGCACTAATTTAAAAATGTTTTTGTCTCCAATTTTTCAGCAAATCAAGGGCCACTTTGATACGACGACTGGACCAAAACAAGATCCCAAAAGTTATACAAAAATTGTGGAAGCAATAAAACGTAACCCAGGGGATGTTACTTTCCTCACTGATATTCCTCAAGGTATGAAGACGGATATAATTAACCTTGTCCAAATGCTAAAATTGATTGAAAAATCATTTTCTTAATTATTAGAAGCCATTGCTGCCCGCTCTGCTGGTCTAACTTCAATCATTGTCTGTCGCCCAGGAAATAAAGAAATTGATTCTTCTACTAAAGAAATGTTTCCCACAATTAAATCATTTGATGAAATCGAAATCAAAATTAAATGATGGAAATCGAAATCGATTAATAACTCTGCTTGGTTGGTGTCAATTCACTTTTGCTTTTATTTTATCGTAAAATAAGAGGAAATCTACTGAATCCTTGGTTTCTAGTCCACCGTTTCACTGGTCACGTCCATATTCATCGTAAATCAATCCATTTTTAGTGTAATGATCGCCAACTTCATCAATCGTTATTGCTTCCATCATAAAATTATCCACTGGACAAATTTCCTTTCCTCTTAGTTAATATTTATATCATTTTCGTGATATTCTAAATGTCTACCTGATATCTTAAATCAAAATAAGACTAGTTAATTTTTCCTTATTCCTGGAAGAGCTTCAGTAATCATTCCATTTCAAAAATATGCTGGTTTGTGATAATTTCAAAAATCATCAAATGGGTCGCCTATTCATGTAAAACTTGCTTCTCATGAACATTATGGGAATGAATTCTATTTTTATCAATGTCTGATGACCATCAAGATTGGCAGTGAAATTTAAGGAACTACCTGTTCGGAAATTAATCAATTGTCATCTACAATTACCTGCAATGTTATTTCCTTTAATTTTAGAATGGAACTTTATTTCCCAATCAATTGAATTTGAAATGCTTGGGAAATTAAGGGTCACAAAAAAAGGAAATTATTAAATTTAGTTACAATTATTTCGTACAATTATTCAGCGAACCATCATAATTTAATCGCGCGCGGTTCACTGAATTCAATGCGTTAACCTTCCCTTATTAAAATGCTATTCTAATACTATAACAATCAATATGCATTTATTTTTGATTAAATAATCAATTCTACCTTCTGTTAAATATTTTGTCTTCATTCTCAATTGATTTAATTACTACAGTTAAGTAGACTAAAGTGATAATAGTTATTGAGTAAATAAACTTTTCAACAATTGAACCAAAAAAACCTCACCCTAAGCATTGGTAATGCAATTTGCTGTTAACAATTCTTACTCTCACTTTTTTTGTTTGGGTAATTGATCAAAATTAACGTTTAATTTGATCGACACTTGGATAATCTGCTAATAAGCAAGTAAGTAAAAGTTGATTATTTTCCTCTTTAAACAAATTACCTTGATTGTCATTCTTTAATGGTTATTATAAAGTGTGTAAAATCACTTTCACGTAAAATAGTCAAGCAGCTGTATGATTAGAGCGGTTTGAAGTCAATTTGAAAGCTTATCAATTGATCTTTTATTCATTAGCATGTATAGTGTCTTCAAATAACTAATTAACTGTGAATTATGACAATCTATTACAAATCATCACTGTAATTATCCTGTTTTGTAGTGTAGATTTTTCATTTATAGTTTTCCTCTTGTTGTGTTTTCAGTTGCCCATCAACATCATCACCAACACTACCATCTGATCCAGCAGAGACCATGCTTAAAGTATTCCCAACCAGACGTTAATTTGATATCCGACCACATTTTCATTTCTGGTTATTATAACAAAATATAAATTTACAATTATAATTTTAACCTTTAATTTGTTTGTATCATCAATAGTACCATCGTTTAACCATCTCTATATATCTCTGTATGTGTAGACTCAATCGTTTCTTTTTACCTATTCATCTTATTTTGTTTACCTTCACAGACTTTGCTGCAAAATTCACCAGTTAATTGTGTCAAACCTGGAGAAGGAAAATTAACGATTGTAACAATCCTTTAATACAATTTAACCACAACCAAGATCACCTGGAATCCATTTACACCATTTCTCAAGATGTTGATGTCTTCAAGAAAACACTCAAATTAAAGAAAAAGGAAAAGAGTTTGTTGATTGGTTGTGCACGATATACTCCTGAATTTATTTGATTATCATCATCACCATTACAGTCATTCTATTACCATTATATTGCCAGTTACACAAGCAGATCAGAATCACCTTGAAATAAAGAAAAGTGTATAAAATTATGAAAGATCAACATCACAGATGAAGTGAGATTATTGTTGCTATTCTTACATTCATATGTGTGCTGTGTTATGCTCATGGAACTTGGGCAGCTATCAACCCATTGTTCCAACTTCTCAGCCATGAGACAATTAATCAATGGAATTAATGTAAATTGAATTAAACCATCTAACCAGTGGGCTGGTTTTGTCGTGTTTATCCAATTTTGTGAATTCTCTTTCTTCACTTTAACCTATTGTTATTGTTGTTGTTATTTTTCACGCAAGGTTTTCCCTTCAACCCGTTGTTATTCAAATTGAAAATGAGAGGACAACAATAAGCTTACATTTTAGTAAATAAAGAAACAAACAAATTACGATTATACAAGTTGCTGGAAATCAAATCATCATCATCTCACACCAGCATTACAACTGCTTAATTTGTTGCCAAAAACAAAAACACATGAACATTGTTATATTCAAAGCCTAGTAAATTCAATAATCGGAAAGTGAGCACGAAATTTGTATGCTCATTAAATTAACACCAGATAGTCGGTGAGTTTTTTTGCTAAATAATACTTTTAAAATTGCTTAGTTATCATTATTGTATTCACCTCTCGATTAATTTCCCCTGTTTTCAATAATATTTTTCTTCCTCAATCATTATCACAGCAATTTTTCATTTTCCCTGTTCGCTCTTCCTTTACCTTCCTAGCTTCATCGGTTATTAATTATCTTCGTATATTTTAGTTGATAGGAAGACGCAAATATTGCATCTTCATTTTCACGATTTTACTACATTAGATTTAATCAATAAATCATGTTTACCATGTATTTAATTAGAACTTTAATTTACCGAATGAATAACAATTTGCTTATGTTTTATACAGATTGGAAGTTATTGGACCCAACAGATAATCAATATTTCAGTATGTATTTAATTTTCTCTCTAATTATTTCTTCTCCTTCTCAATCAATCCTTAATTATAACCATCACATTAACTAAAATCTTTCAACTATCAAACTATCGTGGCTCATTACCATCCACTCTTAATTTAATTTTTATTATATCAAGTGATTCTCTTTAATTCATTTCCATCTGATCTCAACGAACCTTTGCCGACATAAACTCAGACATTGAACCAGTGATCCTAATAATGATTCAACCTTTTAATAGCTTTGATTCAGTCTGTCTGGCTAACTTCTTTACGTTGATGTTGAGGACAAATCAAAAACCAATTTTCTTTGTATCAAAGTTACCCTAAGGAGATATTCAAATTGTTGACCAACTGGTATAATTGACAAGCTTTGAGCCTTCAATGAATCTTAAATTGTCAAAATGTCAGATTAATGGTGAGTAATTAACACTTGACTTTACCATTGAAGGCTTACAACTCAAAACCTTTGAACCAAAATCATTGCTTCTCAACCTGTCCAAGTAAAACCTAGTAAGCCTAATGACAAAGTATTGCTGTTAAATTACTCACCGTTGAGCTTGCTGTCAACAATTAATCAACAGTTGGAAATTATTTTTAACCATGAAATACCCGTAAATCCCATCAATTCAAAAACTGTTCATTATTGTTCTGTGAAGATGAAATTATCAAAAGATGTTCCCTTAATGTTAAATTTTTTTCTCTTGAATTGTTATTAATCTTTCTTCCTAAACCTGGTCACATTCAATCAGTTTCATGATTGCAGATTAGACATAAAAACATTACAATCAGCTAACAATCGGTTTGTTACCAACATCTTAACCATTCAGGTATCATGCCATTTTACCCAGCGACATCAATAAAATTGGGAACACAATATTATTTTACTGACCTCAGTTTCAAGTTCCGTAAACTGTATTCATGAAATTTTTGCTACTTTTTTTGCCATCTTATAGCCAATCCTTATATAATACACCAACAAAATGATACACTTTTTACTAATTGTTAATCTTTTTCCGTTCTTTAGTGTCCCCATTGTACCCGTTTGTTCCTATTGTTTTGTCAATCGTCATGTTAACTGTTTCCATCAGCTCACACCATTTCAGTTTCCTTATTTATCATCAGTTTCATCATCATCAGAACCAACAAAAATATTCTTACCTCACCGTTAATACTGATTAATACAGATTTTCCCAAATCTCAACCCAAACTCACTTTTAACTCTCCTTCAGGCTGATCTTGAAAATTTCAACTCATCATCATTCATCTTAATACCATTTCCAATCCATGTTATCGGTGTTAACTCTCTTTTGACTTTCTTTCACCTCAATTAACATTAACTAAACAATCGATTCTTGTTTGCTTTTTGACTGATCAACAAAGTTTAAGTTACGTTTTTCCACATATTGTCTGAATCAACCACCAAATTGTGATGCTTTTATATCATTTTCAACTTGTTTCTTCTCCCATCATGAAACCTTTTTTGTCCCTTAAAACCAGCCATCATACATCTTAACCTATGTGAACTATTATTAATACACTCATTTGTTGGCCAAAATTCAATCAACCTTTCCAGCTTATCTTTTTCCTCCTTACATTATGTGTGAGAATCAATATTATCATTTTGTATTGTCTTCTAATTCAGTCACAGTCACAATTTTCTTCATGATGTTGAAACGATAGCTTTGTTGTTTGGTTTAAATTAATTTTATGTGCAATCTTAATTGCCAAACTGATTGAGAATCTCTTGTTAATTTATTGAAAATCTTGTTTTTAACTCTCTATCTCTCTTTTTGACTCTGTACAGCTCGCAAGATGGGAACAGACACTAATGGACATTGGTCAAACTCGACTATCAATTCATCACCAGATTATACATCAAATGGTTCGGCTCCTCTCAATGGTTCCTTGTCCATTGAAGCTCAAAATGTTTATGAGATAATGACTATTGAATCCAAATGGAACTCGCCTAAAATTCATGTTGCTTCGGATCCACCATTTTGTAAAACCTGTGAACAGTTGGATACAACCTTTTTTAACATTCAGTGTCACAATTGTCGTGAAATTTTAACCAATCCGGATACAACGATATCACAGTTGTTTGCCATTCTCAGACAATGGGTTCCTCAAATTCAATATTGTATTGAATTACTTGTCGCAGAGATACTCAAACGTGGTGCTCATCATAATGACAAAGATGGTTTAACTGACATGACACTTCTTCATTATGCTTGTAAAGCGGGCTCTTCTGGAGTGGGTGATGTTCGTGCTGCTTTAAGAACGGTTCATCTTTTGATCTCCAAAGGAGCTGATCTATCAATACGATGTCGCTGGACCGATATGGCTGCGATTCATTATGCCGTTTATTTTGATGTCTCCGAGATTGTTGACTATCTATTGACCATCAGTGACCGTGCTTGTATTGATGATGTTTGCCATGATTTTGAAGGTGGAACCCCTTTACACATTGCAGCAGCCAATTTGTGCATTGATTCAGTTAAAGTGCTTCTAAAACATGGAGCCAATGTACTCCTCAAAGATGATCATGGTCGAACAGCTCTAGACTGTGTTCCCGACCCAACAACTCTTCTCAATTCATGTATACTTTCAAAACAGGGTGCTGTTGAGGTTGCGACTGAATTACGTGCACTTCTGGAGAAAGCTTTTCTCTCCACTATTCCTGGTGAAACATTCACCTTTGAAGGCCCAGTTACCGGTAAGGTTGTCCTTCAAGCATTGGGTCTTCAATTAGGTGATAAAGTCGCCATAAATGGAGTTAAATCAGGAATACTCAGATTCTGTGGGGCCACACAATTTGCTTGTGGAATCTGGGCTGGAATTGAACTTGAAGAACCAGAGGGTAAACATGACGGAACTTTTCAAGGAGTTACTTACTTTAGGTATTAATTGCATCTTTAATAACTAATTAAATTTCCTACCATAATTTTATGCATATTAACGGTTTCTTCCTCGCTTTTAGATGTCCACCAAATCACGGTATATTTGCACCGATCAGTAAAATTTGTAGATATGATAATCTTTGGCGGAATATTAGAGGAACAAATCAAACCGTTAGAATTGTTAACCATCCTGGTGTCGATGTTTCTCGTGTAACACCAAAAGTTGAAACAGGTAATAATTTTGACTGAAATTTCTGTCCTCATAAGACCGATTTGTTATACTTTATATTAATTTTAATTTATCTTTTCAGGTCTGAATTCGTTGAAATATCGTTCTGCTAATGTAGCTGAAGTTGGAGATAAAGTTGTGTTGGTGGATAAGCGAATCGGAGTTGTGAGATTTGTTGGAGAAACATCATTTGCCTCTGGAATTTGGTATGGAATCGAATTGTCGAAACCTATTGGAAAAAATGACGGATCCATTGAAGGAGTCAAATATTTTGACTGTAAACCATCTCATGGACTGTTTGTTCCTCCTGGACGGATACTTCGAGTAACCAAAAGTCCGCAAAAACCTATTGATGAGATATTTGCTGATGATGAAAGCTCAGAATGTAGTTTAAGTTTGAGCCGCAGTTCGTCTGAAAGAGCCAAAAGTCCTTTAACTATGCGTCGTCTGAGATCAAGATCTTCCCTTAAATCATCTTCATTTTCACCCACCTCGTATCCAGTCACATCTTCAAATAATCTCAACTCATTACCACCAACCAATAACAATTCATCTTCCTGGTTAACTCTTGGTGTTAATGTTTTTGTTAACAATGAAGTTGGAGTTGTTAGATATATTGGACCAGTTGACTTTGCTGATGGTATTTGGCTTGGTTTAGAGTTAAGAAGTGCCAATGGTAAAAATGATGGAGCCGTCCAAGGAAAACGTTATTTTACTTGTAAACCTGGACATGGCCTATTGGTCAGACCAAAAAAAGTATCCGTCCGAGGTATTAATGGATCAAAGCTGTTGCCTGCTGGTTGAATCTCGTTTCAGCATTTATTTTTGTTAAAGAAACAAAATGAGATTATCAATTATAACAATTGCATTTCATCTTGGCATTTAATTCACAAGAAGAAACTATATTCAATCAATTAATATTGCTACCAATCATGAAGATAATTGACCAACAATCGATTTACCTTAAAATTATCCAATCTTTTTCAATCAAAAATATTGAATCGAATAATTATTTTAATTCAACGGACTAGCTGATAATTCAAATCATGAATGGACTCTTTCACTTTGCACTCACTAATTAAGATCTCTCTTGTATTTCGTTTATTCATCCTTTACTATTTTCACCTTCACTTTCAAATTCGCCATTATTTATCAACTAAACTCAGTCACATTCAATTGGCTCAATTTACTGCATTTGTACATCTGTATTTGATTACTTTTTCATCTCATCACCTGTGACGGATTTAACTAACTCTGCATTATATAAGAAAGTTCAACTTGATTCAAACATTTATCGATTTTTGATGTTTCTTAACTGCTTTTGTGTGCAGTTATGGATAATTTGTCAACACAAACGGGTGATGGACAAACAAACGACAACAGTAGCACTGTGTTATATAAACTGTGATAACTTGGTTAGAGATGCAGCTAAATATTTTGTTGGAAGGAAACTGATCTCTACTGGTAAAGAGATATTCACGTCCCAATGACTAAAATGCATTGTTTTTGTACTTTGATTTTTCGATAAACTATTTAAAACTCTTGTCAAGTGTTACATTTTGACCGCAAAATGTTTTGAGAGATTGAATAAAAAATTTTCTATACAATATTTGAAGTCAATAATTTTTGTAATCAAATTGTGACCAAACTGAACGGGTTCTAAAGAATATTTTTACATAACATAAAAGCCATAATTAAAATACAATATCCAAGAATAGTCAAAGTTGAATCAGAATCCATGATCGATTTGAATGAATGCATTTTAACTCTTATAGCACTTTTCAATCTTATTATAAATTACGGTAATGATAACTGTTTGAAAATCAATCAATGAAATTAATAGCCATTAAAGGAAAGCAAAAAATTACCAAAAATCCGGCAAAAGACGTCATGAAACCTTCTTTGACAAATTCCATTATATCTTCGGTATCATTATTGAATCGGACTGTTGGAGATTAAATTAAACAATCAATTAGGTTAAAGATGATAAACACTTTAATGACTAACCTGAATACAAATAAACTGCTATGGAATTGAGAGCAACAAAAGACGCAATACCAAAGAATCCGGTAATTCCTGAGAAGAGATAGAAGAGAAACCCAATTAGATAAGTTGCATGAGTATGATTTTATGTAAGTTTGTAAGGAAGAGGAAAACATGCTGTACATACCTATAAATCCCCAAATCATACCCATGAAAATGGCTAACACTTGTCTACTCCAATAAATGACATCCAAAAATTGGTCCTAAGAGCATAGGTCAAAGTTTCATGTGGATCAATTTTATTTCTCTATTACAATGCTGCATTAGGATTTGTACTTGTTATTTCATTCTTGACAATGATGATATATTGTAAGAACGGTATTCAAAGCGCCAACTTTTCATATTGCTCATCCCTCAGGACCAAGATTTTCAACACTAAGTGTTAGCCATCATTAAAGAAACCTCATTGTCCTAAAATGTTGTGTAAAATTATTCATTTTTCATTATAAAACAACATCAATCTTAAATCGAAAATAATAAAAGACAGAATTACTCATAATTACCTGATTTGAATGGATCTTTAAGCTACCAAAGCGCAAAACCACCACCAAACGACTCTTTATCTTTTCTACTGGAGTTTGAAATGCAGTTTAATAGGCACACTTCGTTTATGTGGTTTTTATTTACTAAAAAGACACAATTGTAACATTTAAGCATCAAACTTATGAACGAAGTGGGCAAAAACGAGTAAAAATCAATTTCTTGCAAATTCAAACTCTGTTAGTTTGTAATGGCACAAAAACTGAATCTATTTGGGCGATTAAAATCGTTTCTGTGATCGATAGTTTTCGAGAAAAGCGAGTTCAAAGTTGAAACTTCGATCGCAATTTGTACAATTATGGAAGCAGATTTTTTAATGAAACTCATTGTACTGATGTAACTTTTCATAATCAACTAGAAAATGTACTTATTTTGCAAAATAAAGTTTTCTTTTCTCTGTAAGCCCCATAAGTTCGATTTTTAATCAAACCGATCGATTTCTTTGACCGCATGAGTTAGAGATCTGAAACTCATTTTTCGCCCTTAAAAATTGTTTGCACGAATCATGAGTTGAATATTTTTTCTAATTTATCAATAGTTCTCTTGATATTGATCTGTAAAGATTGAGTATCAATATTTCGCTTATTTTACTTTAAAACAGACAGAACAGTCTTTTTTACGATTTTAAACTCTGGCCATTTGAGCTATGAAACACTACAACTGCGATACTTTACAGGCAATAATCAAATCTCATCTCTTCACTACACCGCTATATTAGGTGTTGAACTGTTATTTCATTCTCAGCATGAATGATATCGCAAAACGGTATTAGAAACGTCAAATTTCCTAATGCTGATCTCTCAATAGGACCAAGATGTTAACCATCATTAAAGAAACCTAATTGTCCCAAAATATTGTGTAAAATTATTCATATTTCATTATAAAACAATAAACTCAATCATAAATCAATGCATTTGCTGCTAAAAAGACACAATGAACACATTTGTAACATTTATGTAACAAACTTGTAAACAAAGTGACCAAAAACGGGCGCGAATCCATTTCTTGCAAATTAAAATATGCTAGTTTGTAGGGAAATAAAAACTGAATTTATTTGTGTGATTTAAAGATTTCTGTGATCAGTAGTTCTCGAGAAAATCAAGTTCAAACTTGAAACTTCGACCGAGTTTTGTACCGTTGTCTGAACAGATTTTTTCCATACAACTCATTTCCCTAATGTGAATTTAAATGTCTAACCAGAAAATGCACTTGTTTTCAGAAATAGAACTTTTCGTTTTCTGTAAAACCCATAAGTTCGATTTTCAATCAAACGGACCGATTTCTGAGATCACAAGAGTTAGAGATCTGAAACTTATTTTTTGTGCACAAAAAATGTTTACACAGATCATGAATTGAATATTTTTTCTAATTTATCAATCGTTCTCTTGATATTGGCTATCAACCAGAAATGTTCGAACCTCAATATTTCGAGAATGACACCACCTGTCATCATCAGTCTACGGCCAAATACTAGATTTCATTATGGGCTATAATTAATTGAAATATCAAATGTTTGAAGATTCTACAGAAAAAGCTACAGCATTGGTGTACTTATGTTACCAGATTTTAGACTTGGTTGATGAAGTAAATTGGGTGCTCAAACACAAATCAGTATTAAATGAATTAACTCAGATTTTTCTGGTATTGAATCACACCATATTATAGTTCATAACAAAATCTAATGTTTGATCAAAGAATGGTGATTGCATGTGATCTCACTCTCGAACTATTGAAGCTCAAACTTTTCAGGTCAATGGCCAATATCAAGAGAAATTTCCATAAATTGAAAAAAAATATCCAATTCACAATATGTGTAAACAATTTTTATGCATGAAAAATCAGTTTCAGATCTATAACCCTTGCGGTCACAGAAATCGGTCGATTTGATTGAAAATCGAACTTTTGGGTTTTATAGAAAATAGAAAACTTAATTTCTCCAAATAAGGACATTCTCTGGTTAAGCATCTAAATTAACTTGAGGGAAATGAGTTTTATAGAAAAATCTGGTCAGACGACGGTACAAAAAGCGATCAAAGTTTCAACTTTGACCTCAATTTCCTCGGAAACTGGCGATCGGAGAAGTTTTTTAATAGTACTAATGAATGTAGTTTTTATAGTTCTACGAACTTACAGAGTTTAAATTTGCAAGAATTTGATTTTTGCCCGTTTTTGCCCACTTTGTTGACAAGTTTGATGCATAAATGTTACAAATGTGTTTATTGTGTCGTTTTAGCAACAAATGCATTGTTTTATGGTTGTGAATATTGTTTTATAATGAAAAATGAATAATTTTACACAATATTTTGGGACAATGAGGTTCCTTTAATGATGGCTAACACTGAGTGTTGAGAACCTTGGTCCTATTGAAGGATGAGCAAGATGGACAGTTGGTGTTTTTAACACCGTTTTACAATATATCATCAATGCCAAGAATGAAATAACAAGTACAACACCTAATGCAGCATTGTAATAGAGAAATAAAATTGGACTATTAGCTAGTAAAGTAGCTGCAATTGCAGGGTGAAATGATTCACCAACAACTCCAGGAATAAAAATCATTGATGATATTTGACCAGTAATAACAATATATCTCGATAGCATTCCATATGAAGATGAGAAGATGGTCGATATTCCCAATCCAACAAGTGTGAATCCAGCCCAAAGACAAGCCTCATTGCTATTAGCCCATGGTACAGAAACAACTACACCAAGCAAAGTAAGAAACAAACTAAGGGCCAATAATTTAGTTTCAGCTACGATGAATGTTAATGGAATGAAGATTAATCGATAAAATGAGAAACAAGACCAGAAAACCGTTGCAAGTAAAACACCAGTCTTTTTGTCCATATGAATATCGGATTTGACTGAAAATGAAGCTCCAAGGGAACCTGTAAAGTCAAGGATTCATCAATTGAAATAACTAATAAATTTGGCAATAATAAACTTACCAAGAACTGATTCTAAGCTATAACAAAAATGGGCAACCACTGCTGCCAGGAAAATGGCGATATACTTTTTCCATGGACTGATTTGCGAAGATGGTTGTGGCACTTGAATGTTGACGGCGTTTACCTCTTTCTTACTGTATTCAGTGATACTTCTTTCTCGAAAATATATACAAGCGTAAAAGAAAGAAACGATTACTGATAAAAGGCCAATGATCACGAAGGCATATTGAATCATTACATCTTTGGCAGTATAAATTGATACAATCACTGGATTCGCAGTTGTGTTTGCAGTTATTAATGAACTTGAATCTGGTTCAAGACTTTCTTCTGGTAATAAAAATGGACGACATATAACTGGGGTTATCAGTGAACCGATTCCCCATGACATGTGAAGAACTTGTAACCAATTCGTACTCTTTTCCTTCCAAGTGCTGGTCACTGAAGTATTACACACTAGAAAGCAAAAATAAGTCAGTCCGAAGGGTTTCGTTTTAACCATTTTGATAAAGCATAAGCGATCTTTGAAGGATCACTTGGGTTACTAGTCATTGTATTAATAATAAATTCATTGTTGCAATGGTTTATGTAGGATCTAGAAGCATTCACACATAAGCCATTTCAGCAAAGTAAACTGTTTGTGGTCAAATGTTTTATCGACTTACAAATATCTGACATTCCATGAGCAACACCAGCTATTACCAGAAATATTGAAGTAAACTCAAATTTGGTAAAGAATGGAGCAGCTCCAAGAAAAATTCCAGAGATCAAATTGATTATCCATAAAAGAAGAGATCGGTTGAATCTTTGCTCGATCAAACCAGCTGTTAATCAGAAACACCAGATTGAATAAAGTGACATTTAACTGAACCAGATTATCCAAACTTACCAAGAGCAGATCCAAGTATGTGACCGGCACTACGGAAGGGAATTAAATAGGAAACTTTGGCAAAATCAACATTTAAACGTATTTGTAAATCAAGTAAACTAGAACCGAGAAGTGTTGTCGCTGATCCGATGCAAAAATATGCAAAGTAAGCAAGTATGGTTTTAAATAGTCTGTACCTATTGTCACTAATAAAGCGTATTATTTTCATTTCTGTTAGGCTCAAATATTTGATAATCTAATTGAGAGTTCTGTAGTGAATGATCGTAAAATTGTATCTTGTTTTTTATACTCTTCACCCAATAATCTTGCTAATCTTAAGGTTTATCAATCTAGTTAAATCTGGATAATAAAACTAATTTTGTATCTTGGACTCATAAATTCATGTAATCTCAGTGATATTTGCATAAGTATGAATGAAGTAATAAACTAAAAATTCAATCATTTATCTAACTTTGCTGAGTAATTCTTGAAAAATTAGAAGTCTACTTTCAGTAATGAGATAACACATTGAGCTAACTGGTAGAATCATATTCTTGATTACGCACATAAGGTTAGCATTATTATTATACTAATAAGAATGAGATTCTAGGCCTTCCCAGTTGTCATTAAAACAATATCTGAAACAAAAATGTCTCCCAGAGCGTTTATCGATTCATACTTTGATAATTAATCAAAAAATCTAAATTATATCCAATCTTTCTCTATCAAAAGCATGAAACAATTAAAACAGAAATGTTAGTCACTTTATGCTTGAGACAAGCGATAAAACTTATGAGTTTAACAGAAAGTTATTCTGTGAAAAATTCAGCAATTCTGGTCGGCCATTAGAAGTTTCAACTTAGATCTCAAATTTCTCGAACACTTTTCAAGACAAATTTTTAGACTCCACAAATGATCTTATAATAGTTTCGATGTCGCTACAAACCAAAAGAGTCTAAATTTGAAAGAAATTAATTTTGCCCGGTTTTGTCTAGTGTTGTATTGTTCCAATATTTTCAAGGAACAAGAACAACGAGAAGAACAATTTCTTCGGAACAAGAACAAAAAATGTTGTTCCTAGTTCTTAAAATCGAGAACAAGAACAATAACAAGAACAGTACAAATTGGAACAAAAAAAACCTAGCGGAACAAAACGCTAAAACTGAGAACAATTTTGGTGAAAATTTTAATTTATCAACAGATTTTGGGCAAAATAGGGTTTGACTTGAATCCCTCTGGTGTTAATGGGTTACTTTAGGCACTCATTTAGCATTTTATTGCGTCACCTTTGTTCTTTGTTCTGTTCTAGATTTTAGTTTGTTCTGTTCCTAGGTTGTTCCTGGTTCCGATTTTTCGGAACAAAACAACGGAACAGAACAAAGAACAATTGTTCCTGGCGCTGGAGAACAAGAACAATACAAGGTAAGGTCCTAGGATTGGTAACACTGGCGTGGCTTCACAAGACTTTTAAATTTTTATCCAATGGAATTAACTCTGAGTTTCTTGGTGAGTTGAAGTTTTATTGACACTCTTAAATTCATTAATATTAAATTATAGTTGATTATGCTAGTTAGATCGATATGAAAATAGTTAGATCGGCGAAGAAATTAGAGTCAACCATGCTTTACTCACTTGCAAAAATAATGATTAACCCGCCAATATGCCATAGTCTTCTACCAGAAAAACCAGGATATTATAAAGTAATCAGTCATCACTTTGTCACCTTCATTTGCTTAATCCTCAAGCCACCCTTACCCTTTACTTTTGTTAACCGCGTTTTCTTGTTTTATTTTTCATTTAAGACTGTCCATGATCAACTATTATTAAATATCAATGAATTTAAGAGTGTCAATAAAACTTCAACTCACCAAGAAACTCAGAGTTAATTCCATTGGATAAAAATTTAAAAGTCTTGTGAAGCCACGCCAGTGTTACCAATCCTAGGACCTTACCCAATACAACACTATTTTTGTCCAGTTGTGTCAATTTGTGTATAACTATGACAATTGTTTTAATTGTGTCTTTTTAGTAACAACCCTAATAAAGCTACATAAACAACGGATTTTGATTTTGACATTCGATAAACTAAACTGAATTGAGTGAAGGAAGAATAATTAATAAAGATCAAATTCATATTGAATTTTATTGCCTTCTGAGTTTGAGGAGAAATAAACTTTAAGTTATAAAATGACTCTAACAGGTAAATCTTATTTTGGTTCATGAAGTATTTACCGTTTTAAAATTATCTGAAAAATACGTAAAATAGGGAAAAATTTATTAACTGATGTCATATATGATGTAATAACATACAAAAAGATCAGTATTTCATCGGAATGTTTTGAAGTGAAAAGATGATCACAGGTTTTTACTATTACAGGGAAAACTATTACTGAACGAAAAGCTCTGAAGGATTGCTATATTTAAGTTATAAACTGCAGAGATCTTTGAAGTACCTCTGCTTATGGGAAATTTAAACAAAATTTAGCAACAAACATTGAAACAAACAATTTGGCAATGAATATTATCCTTGAATGTTTCATACTGGCACCACAAGAAAACAATTATGCTTTTTTCATTATATCAATTTAAATCAATTTAAATTTTAGTTTGTTCAGAAGGTTTCTCAAGTTTATTTAGAAAGAGCCTTTAATCAGATTCATGTAATTACAAATCAAGTGAATATTTACACATTTATACTGTTTGGGTAATGAACAAGAGATATTATTTATTGAGACATGATGAAGATAATGAAAAGGAGTTGTATCGATGTTTCTGTAACTGCAATTTTGTGACGCTCTTTAGACGGTTTGTTAAATTGTAGGAATCTCATCACGTCAGAAAAGGCCAACTCTTGTAGATTAACGATTAACAGGGCCTTTAAAATATTATTCACATCTTTGGGTTAATTGACTGAGCCTTGAGTTTTACTGTATAGTGCTAGTTAATCTGCTAGATAAAAGATGATTATAATGGTGAATGGATCGCAAATGAAGTAGACTTGGACGGTTAATCATCTGTTATTGTCATGTTGAAGAGATTTCAGGTCATGAAAGTTGCATTAAGTCTAGTTTGTGACCTAAAACACCATAGAAGCTTTTTCGATCTCATCATAGTCACTCCGAATCTTTGTTGCCTTTTTGTATTTACATTGTAATACCAATTGCCTCAATCCGACTCATCGATTCCAGATCATGCATTGAATTGTTCAGATCACAATGCATCCTTTCAATTGTACAATGTTGCGGGGATGTTGATGTTGACTTTGAATCTAATAAGATGATAAGAAAATAACAATTAGAGTTGAATTCATCACTTATTCCAAAATAATACTAATGGAGATTTACGTCTTATCAGGTATGATCCTGTAAATGAGAGTGAATCGAGTGTGAGATAATGAACAAATAAAATGGAGTTATTGATTAAACCAAAACTGTACATTGATGACAAAGAAAATAATTATGAAATTTATATGATGATAATAGTTATCGCCATTGATAAATGAGGAAGCATTGGTTGACTGATTGATCAGCTTATTGAATTTTTTGAATAAAAATGGTTTGATGTTGAAATGTTTAGGGTAATGGCTTAGGGTAATTAAACATTAAACAAAATGTTGGCAAATTGTTCAAATTGGTTGTTGCATACAATTATCCAAATTGTTGTTCTTTTGATTTTACGTTGATGATGATTTTTATGTTGATCGAGATTCATGAAGCTCTCTGCTGTATAAATGATAAGGAAGACATAAGTAAAAATGATTAGTAAGAGAGATTAATATAAGTGAAAAAGTAACGATAGTAATGATAAGTCTAATTAGCGAGAAAAAAACATTCAGGAGAAAGAAAACGAAAAAAGGAAAGTCGTATTAAGTTCTAGGTCAACAGGAAAGACTAGCCTGATAAATACTAATTGATACGATGCAAAGTAATACCAGTATAAAAACCAAATTTGATGGAGTCAGATGAGGAAAAGACAGGAGCTGATTGGATATTTAATAAATTGAGATAATCTGATTGAGGGAATAAAGAAATAATATATTAATAAAAAAAGAGAAACTGGAAAGATGATGAGAAGCGCGAAAGGAGACAGGCAAGGAGATGATGAGGATAATTATTAGGATGATAGAGTAAAAAAGAGTAGATTCAACAGGCTGGATTAACGAGTAAATGTTTTCTTCTTGCTACTGAATGTTTTCCTCTTATTTTTCTGATACGCACCTATCAATATGTGATGTTCCTTGTTCAACAGCATCTCCAGAAGCGACCGAAACAAGGACATCATCGTCTAAAGGTTTAAATTTATCAATAATACCAACACTAGAGTAACTGCGTTTAATGGACATCTCTTGGGGTAACATTGTCCATTGATTTTTACGAGGATCATAAATTTCAACCGAAGCAATATTATCAAAACCTTCGTCACCACCAATCACATAGAGTAGACCATCTTTGGTAACAACACCAGCATTTCGTCGAGCAACAATCATGTCAGCACATTGCATCCAACAATTGGCAACAGGATCATAAAATTCAACGCTTTTCCTCACAGCAGGTCCATCATGGCCTCCAATGGCATATAGTTTGCCATCTAAAACACTGACACAGGCACCACTGCGACGTTGAGACATTTCAGGGAGAAGATGCCAAGAATCTCTGGTCATGTCATAATATTCAACGGAGGAAAGACAGCTTCGCGATGCACCATCGTACCCACCAACTGCATAAATGTGGTTATTAAGGGTTGCCACTCCGACAGAAGATCTTTTGGTTGACATTGAGGCAATGTAAGACCAGGTACATTTGTAAGGATCATAAACTTCAGCTGATTTTAATCCTGAAGTACCATCAAAACCACCCACAGCGTAAATTTTATCATCTAAAACGCCAACCCCTAAAGTTGAACGTCGAGCTTGCATGTCTGGACAGGCTACCCATTGGCCTTTGGATGGGATAAAATATTGAACAGTCTTGAGACGAGTGGTTCCATTGAAACCTCCAACAATGTAAATATGACTATTTAAAATGGCCAAACCAGCTCTACAGGTTCTCGTTGGTAAACCATTTGGCAAATCATACCAACGTTCAGTGGTGAAATCATAAAATTCACAGTGTTTCACTGCTTTTGGTGATTGTCCTCCAATTACTAGTAAACATTTAGGTTTGATCACAGGTGAGCGATTTCGGAAGCGAGCACTTGAGGAAACAATGGTTCCTTTGCTCAGGTGATATTTCATTGCTTCAATAAGCAAATCTTTACAAGTAGGATAACTCTTGATGATTGGATATTGATCTTCGATTTGAAGTAAAGTTTGCTGGGCAAGTTTAGGGAAACGAACATGTTCCAACAATTGAGGAAGAAATTGTTTCCTATTTTCTTCATCATAAGATACCCAGTTCATGACAGAAGAAAACACGACTTCTTCACCACCAGTACCTGTGTCGATATGTTCACTAGAAATAATCTCTATCAACCTTTCTGGAGTCAATTGTGTAAATTCATCTGATTTTTCAATAATCGACGTAAAATTATGTAAAATATAATTTAAAGTACACTGATTGAGATCACTACAACCTAAAAGGTCCGAAAAAGAATAGATTCCAAGAGCATTTTCTGGATGAAGTTGAGAGATGATAAAATCTGAACAAATACTAACGATCTCTGGACAATCCAACATTTTGGCTCCAGCAAGCAATTGTTGTACATTGGTTTCATCAGGTTCAACAGGAAGACTATAACACCATCTAATTATTTCTTCAAGAGCTGAACCATCAATATTTTTTATTAATATTTCCCTTTGTTCAGATTCGATATACGATAAACCACTTCGAGGAGTAAACATTGCACTAAAATAAGGTAAAGCTGACGAGAGAACCACTTTGTGTCCCTCGATATGGTAACCATCTTCCGTGATCAAGGTAACATCACAATGGTCAGGTCTTAATTCAAACATTCGTCTCATACATCGATCACTTCGAGAGAGACTTGAACTGGCACTGGAACCACGAGTAGTTGGAGTTGATTTCATGCTGTTTCCTTTCATATCTTTACTTGGTCACTTGTTTTAGCTCAAAAAATATTCACAGTCACTTCTTTCGATACAGAATCATTCTTATTGATTGCGACAAAAGTAAATAAATCTTGACCCATTCATAAATCAAGTTTTACTGATTAACTTATTTAATCTTCGTCTCAATGAGACAGTAAGCTAATGTTGATAATAATATTCTCAAGTACAGGGAAAATGGTGTAATTACATCCAGCTGAAAATTTTGCTTTATTTTGATTTATAACGACATCTTTCAGATTGCAAATGAAACAAGTACGAGTTAACAAAGTTAACTTCGCTATATTTTGATGAGTAAATAATTAACGAGTAATTCATTTTCCTTGATTATCCAAATAATTAATAAAATTAAATTATCTCTTATATATCTTGATTTCGAGATGGCCCCTACCATTGTTGACATTTATTTGGTGATATGAATCGAATCGTGATTAAGAGGATTCATAATTGTGTTTTATGGTGAAAAAATGTAAGCAATTTGTTTAATTAAGTAAGATTAATCTTTAATAAATGCAGAAATAATTTAATGTTGTTGATATGATTAAATAAAATCAATTGGTAGTGTTTTATTAGATTAAAAGTACAGAAGAGATGAAAGTGGTTGGCGATACTGGCGCATATTTTCGTTATTATGAGTCGGAAATGAATGAAGAATGGATTTGCTTTGTTTTAATGAATTTCAATGATTTTTCAATGATTTTGCGATAAATGTAAGTTTTCAATTTCACAATTTATATTCCCATATTATGCAATGAGCATGTTGGCTTGAGTATGGATTATCTATTAAGCCTCTCTTATAACCGTTTCCTCCAGTCATCAGAAGAGCAGTTTTTAAATTGACTGAACTACTTTGCATTGAATTAACGGACCCATTAGTACCATAAATTGAAGCATTATTACTACGATGGTTGATAGAGGTTGAGGTAGTGGCCACATTGGGTTCCGAACCATGAGTTGAAGGCTTGCTTCGTTTTGAATCGTACAATGAGTTAGCTGCCATTCGAGATAGTGTGGAATGAGAATCAGTTTGTTGTTGAGGTTGTTGTTGCTGTGGCATTTGTGATTGTTGGGGTTGCAGCGGCATTTGTGTTTGTTGTTGTTGCTGCTGCTGTTGCTGTTGATGTTGTTGATGTTGTTGTTGGTGTTGCTGCGGCGCCAATAGTTGTTGCTGTTGCTGTGTTAGTTGTGAGTGTTGGAACTGTTGTAATTGTTGTGGATTAACTGCTAATAGTTTATTTGTAACATTATTTGCATCTTTGGGTGAAGTATGGCCTGAACCTTGAGCTCCTGCTGGTATAGTACTGGTTGATCCATGAGATCGATGATGATTGTCCTGGTAAATGGCACTGCTTGAGGCAGACTCGGAGGTTGAGTCATCTGAGATCGTCATATTAGAGAGATCCCAGGTCATTCGAGTTGCACTAAGATTAGTTTGTCCAGAAGGTTTTTTCACCTCATCATAATCACAAACTTTCATCAGGTCTGCATAAAGTCCATAAATTGATTCAGCGTCGTCAGTTTTAGAGTCGGTTACATTTCCTTGATTTTTATCACCACCTCGCTGACCTGAAGGATTGGTTACTGGTGACAAAGTCACTCCTGGCGTTAAACTGAGTAGTATGGTTACTGGTCCAATGTGTCGATGAAGTGCGACATTCAAGCAACCAGAGACCAATGGAACTCCTTGAAGTCTCGGTAATGTTAAAGTTACTATTATTCCAACAGAAGTACCAATCCAGAGTAAACCTCGAGTGGCTAACATGGCTGTCACATGGATAGGTAAATCATTGCTAATGGGTTCATTTAATACTCGTCTAACGTTGGGAGCCACATTTAAATCTTGAAGGTGTTTGAAAGTTTCGGTGTGATATAATTTAATAATTGATGAGTTCATGAGGCTAACCCACAAACCAATACCGCAATGAGCTAATAAATTGGGCCTTGGCTCTTCCTTAGTCACAACTAGATCATCAAGTGAATCGGATGAGCCAACATTTTCAGGAACCAGGGAATAACTTTTTTCAATATTTCCACCATTAATGACCCAAATTTTAGTAGCCGAGCATGCATATACATCTTTACCGATGGGTAATAAACAGGTGACTGGTGATGAGCTGAGAGATAATACAATTGGATCTTCAAGACGATCTATTTCATAAACGGTAAGCACTCCTGACGTAAGGCCAACGTAAACATATTGGTTGAATTGTTTAATACAAGAGACTTCACCGGGTGTCTCTAAAGCTGCAATTTGACGCCATTCACCGGGAGAGTTGGCATCCACAATGATAACTCGTCCTTCCTTTAAACCGATCCAAATTAAATCTGAGGCCACCAGTTCAAGGCAGGTTACATGAGAATCACACAGTTCATAGGAATGTATGAGAGCCATTTCTGAATCATTGGTTGCCAAAGCACCCAGTTGAGACCCATTTTCATTAACATTACAAATCCACAATACGCCTGAACCAGTATCATCATATCCAGGTAATCCTTGATATAATTTGTAATAAAGAGCACAGGTAAGTTGACTGCCTTCCGTTGTTGCAAAAATTGGTAGTGACTTAACAAATAGAGGAACTCTTTGTTGAGTTATTGCATTTATATTGCCACTTGACGATGAGATATTTTCACTGACAATATCCCATGCTGGATTATTAGCTCTATCCAATGATAATTTGGCTAAACGAACATCAGTAAGCCAGTCTTTTTTAGCCTCTGGATCTGACATTTGTATGCATATTATATCTTTAAAGTTTTTAGATCGGATTCGTAATTGGAAACAACTTCGATCAATAAGAGTTATCTGATTATCTTTTCGACGAATCTCATTATGAATTTGTCGACTCAATTGTTCAACTAGTTCAAGAGATAGACCATTATATTCAAAGCGCAAAGACGATATAAGATTTTTGATCCGACTCATCATTTCCAGATCATGCATTAAATTGTTTAGATCACAATACATCCTTTCAATTGTACAATGTTGTGGAGATGTTGATGTTGGCGTTGAATCTAATAAAATGATAAAAAAATAACAATTAGAAACATGAAAATTTAACATTTAAAATTAAAATCACTGTCATTTTCATCATCTTCAATAAATCTTTAGGATGGGAATGAAAATTTGATTTAGGAATGAAATTGTAAACAAATAAGGAACTTAATTTATCAAATTAAAACATCAAAGTTTATAAAAATTTGAATGAATTGTTGAAAATTACAAAGATTGAAATAAAAAGCTTTGAAATTTGACCTAAAATTGATCAATAGGAATAATGATCATAATGAATGCAAACCTTTATCTACAGAAAAAGAAAAATCAACAATAATGGTGAAAAGAAAAAATGATCAACATGATAAACAAGACAACTTCCAATCAGGTCAAGTTTTGGATGTTAAAAGGATAAAATGTAATATTAATTGTGAACAAAATAATGATAATTGGTTACGCTTTTCGAGTGTATCTGACAATCAAAAGAGTAAACAAAAGTTTCATTTGAATTCCCTTTGATTAAACTGAAAGACATAATACGATCTTCAACCTTTACACTTCCCTATCATGAATGGCTCAGAAATTGTATCATTTTTTAAATTGCCTTTTACAGAAGACATAATAATACTAGAAAAGATCTAGATAATAAATATAATCATCATAATTACAACCACAATCATCAGCATCAATACCATCATTTCAATGCAATTTTAGTTTGTGCTTTAGCAGCTCATCATTCAGCAATTCATGATAAATCTGGGTGACATTGATTACAGGTAACAAAAGTAATTGATTACTCAATTTAAACTTTTTATCAAAATGAAAAAATAAATTTCTATTTTTTCTGTTAACTTGAAATATCGACAATGAAAAGGCCCAGCAAACTGAACAAAGGAAAGGACAATTCATTGAATTTCCCGCTAGATTTTTTCTGTGAATCAAAGCTTTAAGGTTAACAATTACAAGATAATTATTTGATAATAGCAGGCATTATTTATAACAACCAGTAAATGCAAAATAAAAGTTGATTTTTAGGATTGAGTTAAATGTTGAGCTTAAGTGAGGGAAAACATTACTCGTCTGTTGGCAAAGCAATCAATCTAAATTAATTCTGGCTACTTGTAAGGTTAAAAATGATTTAAACTTGAAATAAATATTTTGAAAGATTCAAAAGCACACAGCAAAATATTACTTTTTAAGTGTACAAAATGATAAATTATCATGTTACTTGGAGATTTATCATGTAAGATTCAGGTTGTTAGGTAAATTACTATTGTTATCAATAGTTTATTTGAAATTGAATTTTATCAAGATATTTCTTGTTTTACAAGTTAATTTTGATTCTGAAAAGGGTTGAAAAATAGATAGAAATCAATTGATCAGTTACAGCTTGATTAAAGTTGAGTAATTTTGAAAAATTTACTGATTGAAACTAATTTGAATGATGTATAAATTAAGGTGAAATTTATTGGGGTCAGACTATGGTTAAGAAGCTCTCATTTACCTGTAAATAATCAGAAACTGATGAACGTGAAAAAATGAGCTTACAATGAATGTGAATGAAAGAATCTAATCAAGTAATTGGGTTAATAAACAATATAATAATTTTCAGTGAAAATTGGTTTTTATTTATGTGCAAAAATGAAGATGGTCATTGTTATTCAGTTTTACCTGACGATTGAATTAGTAAAGATAATAATGGTGAAAAATGTAACAGTTTCTTGAAATAATGTAAAATGATGCTTAACCTAAATTCCTAGTAATAAGTCTGTTTAAAGTTAAATATTAACTAAATATCTAACCTCATTGTAATCATTGAATTACATGTCAAATTTTATGAAAATCAAGTAATGGCTGATTGTAATATGAAAACCAGTTTTCTGTTGCAATCATTTAAATCAACATCAAAAGTCATTATGTTAATTTAGTGCAACAAAAGTCAGCTGATTGAAAGCTTTAACCAGTCGATTGATGAAAAGAGAGCCAGAAAAGGCAGAAACAATCAGATAAGTTAAATTAGAAGCGCATTTAAAACTAAATCAATTAATATTCAAAATAAAAATTTTGATGAGTTAATATTGAGGTTGTTGTAGGATAATGAAACAAGTCATTAATATCATTTCGTGTTAACTGTATTGAGATCGTTTAATTGACTTCAATCTTAATTAAATTATAAACCAATTGTGAACTCAATATTTGCTGTCAATGATGATATTTTATACAAAATGAGCAAAAATATTTGAATTTGCAACGCAAGTTTTAATACAGATTAATAGTTGGATCATTTTTATCCAGATTATTGGTTAATCTGTGAAGTGATATTTTAACACTAACAATTTAGTATTTAGCTAAACAGATTATCTGTGAAACAATGAATCAAGAGAGAAATAAAATCAGGGTAACACCTGAAGGGTCAAGAATGACAAGAATAATTTAGAGTTTCAACTTGAAACATTGTAACTAGCATTAAGGTTGATGACAAAGAATTGTCCAGGTATAGTGTTTGGTAGTTAACTAGAGCAATTCAACTTAATTAGGTGATAACGCTTAACGAACAAGGTGAAAAAAATCAATCAACAAGACAAAATAACGATTCAGGGTGTGTTTCAGGAGGGTTTCATCCCTCAGGTGATTATAAAGACTTGTTTAGGAGATGAAGAAGGAATAAAAATATGAAAAGATGAGAAAGATAAAAACATCAAACTTCTCAATTTATTCAAACAATTAACATTCCATGATCAATATATCTTTGGTGGGTTTAATGAAACTTCGATCAGATTGAGTGAGAATGGGAAAAGGATACAATCTTGAGTTTGGATGAAATGCAACAGATAATCATGATTATTTTTTGGCAACAAATAAAACATTAACCAAAAATAATGATCATAATTGGTCAGAATAGTTGATAAAGAGCTTGAATGAAATGTTCAACTTTTTACTTGTGGCAACAATAAAATGCAGATCAACTTTTTGCCATTTAATAATAAGAATAAATGAATTAAACTGAATTTTATCGAATATTAATTAAAATGCAATTTATTTATTACAAGACAAAATTGATGAAAAATGAGTGACAATAAGTAAGTTGATGAGAGATTGTTTAAGATTCAATCAATCATGATTGTTGAAATAATAGTTATCATAATGATTTGATGGACGGAAAAAAACAATGCATTTGATGATTTTGAAAGATAAGTTCAGTGATAGCTCAAAGTGTTAGATATTAGCTTAATGGTAAAGAGTTTATAGTCTATTGGAAAGGAAAGCATCATGAAAGTAATGGTCAAGGTGATGAGGTGATTTGAAACAATTGGACAAGTGGATAAAAGGTTTGAAATAAAGTTAGAGGTGAAAGAAAATTTACTTGAAAAGATATTGATTATGCAGGGAATGAAAAGATGTTCATAGCATGAATCAAGTTCCGTCAGCAGTCAACTGTCATGTTATATTGTAAACATACGAACACGCGCAAAAAGCAACAGAACTTTATTCATGATAAATTTGTTTAACCGTGATCACCATAATCAGGTTTTTAATGTTCAGTAAGCATTAAACTTTTCAAAGAGAGGTACAGAGTTAATAAAATTAACAGCAACAAACATGACAAAACAATTGGGTCAAAGAATCAATTGTCAATGAGATTTAAAATTACTGTGAATGAAATTAAATAGCAAAAATTTTGGCCTCCAACAATAGGAAAAAATTGTGGAAGTTTCAGAAGTCACCGAAAATGATGACATGAGTAATGACTAATAAAATGAATGGACATGAAACTCACGAAAGTAAACAAAGGATTGGAAGCATTTTATGAGGTAAAAATATGATTTCAGGTAAGAGTGGAGTTCATGTTCAACGTAGTGTTGCGAGATGGATGAAGATGCATAAAAGTTCAGAGCAACATTAATGCAATTTCATGGAAATGCATGGAAGCATAAAAAACGGAAATTATTCAAAGTATTGACAATTGGAAAAGACAAATTGTAAGAAAAATTAATATCATTTAGGAATGTAAAACATTGGTTGAAGATGGCGCCAAGCATAAGTTTACATCTTCAATTGAAAGTCATTTCAACGAGAGACTGAATGGTTCAAAGGACTATCGATTAACCATTAAATCGTTCACCTAGTATTTTGTTCAACTCAAACAAAACGTGTCTCACTCAAATAATCATTTAGTGCTCTTTGTTTCTCATTTTTTCTCATCTCCAAAAACATCATTAACATCATCGTTTTTTTAACTATTGCAAGGAAATGAGTTGAGTAATGAGCGGCAAGAGAGTGAAAGGTAGGTCGAATACAATCAAAGGTAAGATCCAGAAAGAGAGACTCGTGATCGATTGTAAGAAAATGATGATAATGATGATGAAAATGGCGATGTTGATGGTTTAAAAGTAGACTTACTCTTCAAGTCTCTGAAGGAATCTCACGGCTTGGTTTTACTATTATCATTATGGCTTTAGTTAAATGTTATTATAACCTATTCCACATGAGATTTTGAGTAAGGAAGAAAAATGATTTTTACATCATGGAATTGCAGATGAAAATGGAGATAAAATATTGATTTGCTCGGATTAAAATTACAGTTTTATCTTGGCTAATCATCAATTCTGCCAGGTTAAAGGTATCTCATGTATTCCTGAGGAGGGATAATCATGTTAATAGAAAGGGATAAAATAAATAAGATTATTGGTAATCATTCTTCATTACAATGATTTTATTTGCAGATTTATGGACCATGTTTTATCATTGACCTGAGTTTTATCAAGTGAAAAGGAAAAGATTCAAAACTTTTTCATGTTCACTTCATGGTTAGAGTGATAGGTAGCAATAAAGAGTTTGGGAATTCACTATCGATCTGGATAAAAACAATTGTCAATTGATTGACGTGACTAGTTTGTGAAGATGAATGAAATTGATCAATGAAAATGAAGATTGATGCTGAGAAAGAAAAGGTTTAACATCAATTTTAAAAAAACCCCAAAAATCGATTATCTCATTGAAGGAGAGTTAAAAAGTGAAA